TAACTTACTTGACTTCTTTGAAACTCTTAGGAAAGTCTCTTAACAGAATATAGATTTTAAAAAAGAATGGTTGAGAGTCCAAACATTCAGCAAAAAAAAATTGTCATATTTCTTTTTTTACTTTAAGAAATATAAAAGTGGTATTAATTATGGTGTATGCAATGAATGAACTTTAAGGCTAAGTGGTGGATTCAGGTGGAGGGTTATAGTTGGCATACAATGATACTCCTTCTTTTTTAATAAAGATAGGCAAGTATGGACACAACATTCAAGCTTGATACAGCTCTGAATTTGGATTGTTATTAAATATTTGACACAGCATAGGTTTCTGACACAGAAAGAATGTGGTCTAAGAACTTGAATTTTTTTAATTTACCTATTATGGTCCAATGTCCAAAATCAAAATACATGGTTAGATTCAGCATATCAAAGAACCCCATATATTCAATTTTTGTTAAAATCAAACAAAGTTTCATTTTGGACCCCAACTTGGACAAACTTGAAAACTGGGCCTATAATCAAAAATCTAAACACATGTTTAGATTCAGCATATCAAAGAACCCCAAGAATTCAATTTTTGCTAAAATCAAACTAAGTTTAATTTTGGACCCTTTGGACCTTAATGTAGACCAATTTAAAAAACGGGACTTAAAATTAAAAATCTAAATACACGGTTAGATTTTGAATATCAAAGAACCCCAATAATTCAATTTTTGATGAAATCAAACAAAGTTTAATTTTGGACCCTTTTGACCTCAATATGAACCAATTTGATAGCGGGGCCCACAAATAAAAAATCTAAATTCATGGTTAGATTCAGCATATCAAAAAACCCCATATATTCAATTTTTGTTGAAATCAAAAAAAGTTTAATTTTGGACCCCAACTTGGACCAACTTGAAAACTGGGCCCATAATCAAAAATCTAAACACATGTTTAGATTCAGCATATCAAAGAACCCCAAGAATTCAATTTTTGTTAAAATCAAACTAAGTTTAATTTTGGACCCTTTGGACCTCAATGAAGACCAATTTAAAACAAGAGTGCACACGCTGAAATGTCTCGCCTTCTTTACTAATCATTGATATTATGTTGATAGTCCTAAATATAAAGCTTTAATACAACTGTCACATAAACTTAACATTAACCAAGTAAACTAAACATTGACCAATGAACCATGAAAATGAGGTCAAGGTCAGATGAACCATGCTAGGCAGGCATGTACAGCTAACAATTCTTCCATACAACAAGTATGGTTGACCTATTGCTTATAGTTTAAGAAAAACAGACCAAAACACAAAAACTTAACACTGAGCAATGAACCTTGAAAATGAGGTCAAGGTCAAATAAAACCTGCGTGACTGACATATAGATCATAAAATATTTCCATACACCAAATGTAGTTGAACTATTGCATATAGTATTAGAAAAAAAGATCAAATCTCAAAAACTTAACTTTGACCACTGAACCATGAAAATGAGGTCAAGGTCAGATGACACCTGCCAGCTAGACATGTACACCTTACAATCATTCCATACAGCAAATATAGTAGACCTATAGCATGCAGTATTAGAAAAAAAGACCAAAACTCAAAAACTTAACTTTGACCACTGAACCATGAAAATGAGGTCAAGGTCAGATGACACCTGCCAGCTAGACATGTACACCTTACAATCATTCCATACACCAAATATTGTAGACCTATTGCATACAGTATAAGAAAAACAGACTAAAACACAAAAACTCAACTATAACCACTGAACCATGAAAATGAGGTCAAGGTCAGATGACACCTGCCAGCTAGACATTTACACCTTACAATCCTTCCATACACCAAATATAGTAGACCTATTGCATACAGTATAAGAAAAACAGACCAAAACACAAAAACTCAACTATAACCACTGAACCATGAAAATGAGGTCAAGGTCAGATGACACCTGCCAGCTAGACATGTACACCTTACAATCCTTCCATACACCAAATATAGTAGACCTATTGCAAACAGTATAAGAAAAACAGACCAAAACACAAAAACTTAACTATAACCACTGAACCATGAAAATGAGGTCAAGGTCAGATGACACCTGCCAGTTGGACATGTACACCTTACAGTCCTTCCATACACCGAATATACTAGACCTATTGCTTATAGTATCTGAGATATGGACTTGACCACGAAAACTTAACCTTGTTCACTGATCCATGAAATGAGGTCGAGGTCAAGTGAAAACTGTCTGACGGGCATGAGGACCTTGCAAGGTACGCACATACCAAATATAGTTATCCTATTACTTATAATAAGAGAGAATTTAACATTACAAAAAATCTGAACTTTTTTTTCAAGTAGTCACTGAACCATGAAAATGAGGTCAAGGACATTGGACATGTGACTGACGGAAACTTCGTAACATGAGGCATCCATATACAAAGTATGAAGCATCCAGGTCTTCCACCCTCTAAAATATAACGCCGGATCACTATCCCTATGTCGAGCTTTCTGTGACAAAAGTCGCAGGCTCGACAAAAACGGGACCCAAATTAAAAATCTAAAAACACGGTAAGATTTGGCATATCAAAGAACCCCAATAATTCAATTTTTGATGAAATCAAACAAAGTTTAATTTTGGACCCTTTTGACCTCAATATGAACCAATTTGATAGCGGGGCCTACAAATAAAAAATATAAATACATGGTTAGATTCAGCATATCAAAGAACCTCATATATTCAATTTTTGTTGAAATCAAACAAAGTTTAATTTTGGACCCCAGTTTGGACCAACTTGAAAACTGGGCCCATAATCAAAAATCTAAATACATTTTTAGATTCAGCATATCAAAGAACCCCATATATTCAATTTTTGTTGAAATCAAACAAAGTTTAAATACTGGACCCTATCTTGGACCAACTTGAAAACTGGGCCCATAATCAAAAATCTAAACACATGTTTAGATTCAGCATATCAAAGAACCCCAAGAATTCAATTTTTTTTAAAAATCAAACTAAGTTTAATTTTGGACCCTTTGGACCTTGATGTAGACCAATTTAAAAAACAGGACCCAAAATTAAAAATCTAAATACACGGTTAGATTTGGAATATCAAAGAACCCCAATAATTCAATTTTAGATGAAATCAAACAAAGTTTAATTTTGGACCCTTTTGACCTCAATATGAACCAATTTGATAACGGGGTCCACAAATAAAAAATATAAATACATGGTTAGATTCAGCATATCAAAGAACCCCATATATTCAATTTTTGTTGAAATCAAACAAAGTTTAATTTTGGACCCCAATTTGGACCAGCTTGAAAACTGGGCCAAAAATCAAAAATCTAAATACATGTTTAGATTCAGCATATCAAAGAACCTCATATATTCAATTTTTGCTAAAATCAAACAAAGTTTAATTTTGGACCCTTTGGACCTTAATGTAGACCAATTTGAAAACTGGACCCAAAATTAAAAATCTAAATACACTGTTAGATTCGGCATAACAAATAAATAAATGTGATCAAAGATTTTACAAATCTAATGCGCCATACTTTGCAATTAAAGATTACTTCTTGAAATTTTTCAATATTTGAAATTTGAAAAAAAAATAATATTTGAAGAATAATTCTTTTTAATTTCTGAAATCTGAAATGAGAAAAAATTGACCCCCCACAATTTCTTTTTATCCCCCCCCCCCCTTTTTCCCCCCAAAAATTCTTTCCCTCAAGATATGGTCATAATCTCAATTCAAATTTCCAATGGAGTTGGCAACCATAATTACCCATTTAAATTTAAATCTATTTTATAATAGAATTAAAAATATAGTGTCAAATCTTTCATATGGATTTTTTTGTAAAAAAAAAAGATGCAACATTTGCAGATATTTTTACTGGTCTTCCTTTATAAATATGCATTTCTTTAAACATGATTTAAAAGCAGTGTAAGGGAAGTAACCAAAACGTTGTATTTGGATAACCTCCCTTACACTTTTTTAAATTATCTTTATTGTTCATTAACCATTACTTTATACATAATTTAAAAGCAGTGTAAGGGAGATAATTTCAATGATGTATTTGATTTATCTCCCTTACACTGCTTTAAATTATGTTTTGTACTCAAGTATTTGTCCATTAACCAGGACAACCTTGTTTTTCCCCCTTTTTTGCCCCTAATTCCTAAACGGTTTGAGCCATAACCCCCAAAAGCAAATCCTAACCATCCCTTTGTGGTATGGAAACTTGTAGTATAATTTCAGAGAGATCTATACACCGTTCCACAGTTATTGTCTAGAAACTAGAAAATGCTTATTTTTGGCCCCTTTTTGGCCCCTAATTCCTTAACTGTTGGTACAATAACCCCCAAAATCAATCCCAACCTTTCTTTTGTGGTATTTAACCTTATGGTCAAATTTCAAATAGATCCATTCACTTAAACTAAAGTTAGAGTGCGAAAACCAATGTGTCTTTGGACGACGACGCCGGACGACGACGCCAACGACATACCAATATACGACCACAAAATTTTTTTGCGGTCGTATAAAAATATATCCGTCTATACAATATGCCATGCTCTTTATCTCACTCCTGTATCGAGTATAAAAATTTGAGAATATATTTGCCAATCTTTACAAATTCCCTAAAAGACAAATAGAATCATTTAAATATAACTTTAGACAAACAATGATAAGGTCCCTAACCTAGGATAGTGGTAACTAAACTAATCAAAGAGAGGCTAAAGATTCCAAGTATCCATGTTTTCATCCACCCTAGTTTATTAAAACATCTTTATTTCAACAACAGCAAGATCTATAAACATTAATTCTAAAGTTTTTTTAGGGGAGAAAAGCTCATGAGGGAATTTGTCACCTATCAGACTGAAATTGAGTTTTATTCTATAAAACAATTTTTTTAGCAATTCTACCCCAACATTTTCAATACTAATGTAATCCGGAGTTAAAACTTTTTTTTATATAATTGCAATTTATTCATAATGCGAAACAAGAACTGAACTCTTTTTTTAATTCAATAAATAAAAGACACCAGACCTACTTGAAACAAAATCCAAAATGACCTCTGACAGGACACAAATTTAAAATAATGTCAAATACATAAATGTTTCAAAATAATGTCAAACAGGACATTATTCCAAAATAATATATGCATTCAGATGACAGTCTTGTTATTTCAACAATTTAACATCTCTAGTTATTCAAATTTTTAAAAAATGGTGAGGGTAGTTTCCTTAAAAAGCCTCATTCTCGTCAATGCATGTCGTGGTTTAGACAACTAAAAAATATTACTAGTAAATCCACAAATCATAAAGCTTTGTTATGCTTCTTTTTTTTTTATCAGTAGTGTGCCTCCTTCGGATATAAAAAGTGATGTTTTGAACAATCTAAAGCAGCTCGTGTTGTATTTTTTTCATGATATGTTAATGATCTCTGTATCTGGACACTGTTAATTGTTAATCATAATTATACTTTACATTGTTTTAACCAGAAGTTTCAATATACACAACTGTTCAAAATACCATTGAAAGTTCCTTTACATCATCTTTGTCATGGTAAACAAATTCTACAGATACTCTTTTCAATAAATTAAGGATGTGTGCTCCTCTGTTTTAAAATAAAAATATTTTTAAAAGAATGTTATAAATTGCTAACTTATATAAATAATGGAACTTAAAAAGCAGAAAAAAAATTATGAAAAAATGTTGAGGCCCTATAAAAAAATGAGTGTTTAGGGTTTCATGACAGACCTTTATTTCAGGCTCTGGTCAAAACTTTCTTTCAGTATTTCTAAAAAAAATAAAACTTTTCATCAACATTGCTGTAATTGCTAGCTTCTTCTATTACATATATATGTGACAAAGAAATTATACATATAGGTACATTAATATGTGTAGAGTATTTCTAAAACAAAACTCAAGCAAGACACAAAACTTTCCCATTTGTGATAAATTAAATTTTGTTAATTTAGACCTACAGAGCTTGTAATTCTTAGGTCAGATACTCGTTACACTCATAAGGTCTTTTGACCTGATGAGACAATAAACTCTCAATGGGATTTTCAAATAAATTGTAATCATATAGGAACATTCAGTCCCTCATACCATTTCTGGAAATTTTAACATTACATGTATTTCAATTGAGGTAGTCACATTGTTCATCAACATATCTATCACAGTTTTCTATTGGAAAACTAATTTTAATTTCAACAGGAAATCATTTTTATGAAACTGTCTCCTTCCAATAACAACAAATGTAAAAATAAGAAGACGTGGTATGATTGCCAATGACACACTCCAATAAACCCTTATTAACTATATTTTATTAAGCCTACCTTGTTCCCCATAGCTCTTAAATGAGAGCTATTCCAATAAAAAGGAGGATGAGGGAGGGTAGCTTAAGTAATGTACAGCCGAAATCCCACAAACATACTTTCTTTCAAGAAATTTGGAATACATCAAATAGAAAAACAACCATAAATTACACACCATATAAAAATAAGGAGATGTAGAATAATTGCTGATGAATGCGACACTAGTGGTTACCCTCTTAATATTGACATGTAAACTAAGCAAAAGGTTTGAAGTCATTAGACCGTGATTGAGGGGAGGGGCAAATAATCTCCCTTGAAATGAGATGAGCTAATGCTAATACAACTTCATACAATATATTGTTGACCTATCATTAGTTGTTCCCCTTTAACTGACCTAATCACATATTTTTACATTATTCATGCTGCCAGCTTGGGAAACAGGACCAATTAGTGTCCCATCCCAAACTTTGTCGAGGTGAGACAAAAATCGGTTCTCCCTTCCCCAACTTTGTTTAGGTGAGACAAAAATCATTTGAAAACCCCCCAATTTCTATAAATAAAGCTTGTATTCCTATGCTCCCATATTTCTTTTAACGGATTAGCTCTATGACTAGATTCTCAGATCTTTATAATACTGTTACTAACACATGATTCTCAGAGATCCTCATCACTCTCAATTCCTACAACTTCAACATCAAATTTTAAAAACTTTGAAGAGTTCGGTTCATCACTCAAACTCTCCTCTGACTCACTGTCAGTTAATATTTCTAATGTTATAGATTTATCACTGTTAGAATTGATTGTAACAATAGAATCTCTAGAACTATCATCTCCTATTGTAATAGGCGAATTTAATGCAGATTTATTTCGATTGGTCTGTTTCTGTCCTGATTTGTTAATTTTTTCAACACTGTTATACGGGCAAGTAGTACCTTTTGCCTTTTTGAAAGGTATAGCTTTCACCTTGGTACATAGAGCTATTCCATTTTGAGTCTTAGACTTTTGTGAAGTTTCTAGCTTTCTCTTCTGTCCACTATTTCGACTTTTTTCAAGCCTTTGATCAACTACCGTCTTATGTAAGTTGAAATCAGTTTTGTTTGTGACATTAGAATATTTCACAATCTTTGCTTTTATTTTGCCATTGTCATCCTTTTTATTTGAGTATTTTGCTAAAGGGAGGCAATCATCTCTATCTGTTAAATACACTAAAGGGAAATCATCTTCCTTATCTGCTAAAGTGGACAATGGTATGTCATCTTCTTTTTCAGCAAAAGTAGCCAATGTGAGTTCATCCTCTTTATTTGTACAAGTAGTTAATGGGAGATCATCTACTTTATTTGTGACCAATGGAAGTACATACATACATTCATTATCTTTATTTGCAAAAGTGGCTAATGGGAGTTGATCTTCTTTGTTTGCATTATTGGCTAATGGGAGTTCAACTTCTTTATTTGCAAAAGTGGCTAATGGAAGTTCATCATCTTTATTTGCAAAAGTGGCTAATGGGAGTTCATCTTCTTTGTTTGCAAAAGTGGCTAATGGAAGTTCATCTTCTTTGTTTGCAAAAGTGGCTAACGGAAGTTCATCATCTTTGTTTGCAAAAGTGGCTAATGGAAGTTCATCATCTTTGTTTGCAAAAGTGGCTAATGGGAGTTCATCTTCTTTATTTGTAAAAGTGGCTAATGGAAGTTCATCTTCTTCATTTGTAAAAGTAGTTAATGGAAGTTCATCTTCATCACTAGAAATTTCTACAGGAGTATTTTGATAGGGAAAAGCTGCTTCCACTTTCTGAAAAACATATACACTTTCTTTAACTATTTTTAGCTGAATTAAAAAAAAAAAAAATCATTCATCTTTTTTAGAGTCATTTAATTTTATTCTATGTCAAATGATATTGATAAACATGTCTACCCAGACAAAAAAGAAAGTTACTGTAGATTCTTTTATGTGGTGGTTACCAATATAGAAGTATTCAGTAAACAGAAAGTTGATCAGCAATAAGTCTGAAACCACATCACACTGTATAACATTCATACATGAGGCCATATAACAATTTTCAGAATGCTTAAATTGACATTTAAACCTATAATGTCTGTTTGTTTTGTTCACACATTGTCGTTAATATAATGGAATTTTTATGCGACTATCATACAAGTGAGAGGTTTAGCTAGCAATAAAACCAGGTTCAATCCACCATTTTCTACATAAGAAAATGTCTGTAACAACTCAGGAATATGACAGTTGTTATCCATTGGTTTAATGTGTTTTAGCTTTTAATTTTGCCATTTGATAAGGGACTTTCCGTTTTTAATTTTCCTCAGAGTTTGGTATTTTTGTTATTTTACTTTTTATAGTTCCTGAGAAAATTTAATATGGCTATTATATAAAAAGAATATGAGAACATGTATACTGGTAGTTGACAACCATTGAATCTGAAAATATACCACACTATTAAGCATGCTTACATGAAGCTTGATACCAAATTTCATGTATCTCTGATGTGTAATTCTTAACAAAAATGCAACCAAAATTTCATGCGACAACTTCATAGTCTAGCATTGTATTCTGGTTTATATAATTATCAAAAAGTATGATTAATGACAACAAAACATACTGTGTCCTTTTACAAAGGTAATGCTCAACTTGCATTATTTAAACAACATAATTTTAATATATATTTATGTCCTATCACAAAGGTAATGCTACTCTTATATAATTGTTACAAAATAATTCTAATTTCAATTATATACCTTTTTATCATTATTCACTGTGGAATATCTGAAGATCTCAAGTTTTTCTCCTGGTATGGAAACATCTGAAATATACAATTACCAAATTGTTTATCTTAAACAAACATCAGGAAAACATCATTTGAGTCCATAAGGTTAGATTAAGATTGTTTGCTGCAGTGGTACTTCATTCATTACTGGCACTGCTTTTTGATGGGAATTCTGCACAAACTTTAGTTTTCTAAATGTATGCCGTGTCTAGTATACTGTTTGTTTGTCTTTTGTTTGTTTTATGCCATGGTGTTGTCAGTTTTTCATCGACCTATGAATTTGACCAAAATCTGGCCTTTGTTACACTTGTATGTTTTTTAAAAATTGTAGTTCATTATATGTTTCGGAGTTAAGTGTGATGTCCTTTTCACTGAACTGGAACACATTTTTGTTTAGGGCCAGCTGAACCTGCCTCTAGGTGCGGGATTTTATCGCTGTGTTGAAGACCTATCTGTGACCTTGGGCTGTTTTCTGCTCTTTTGTCATCCAATGTTATATATACAAGTACGAAACTAGAGTGCAAGTCAATCTTCATGTTAAAAGTTCATTGCTCTGTTATATATTGCCATACAGGTCCGAGTACACAGTTATTTCGTAGTGCATTTCTTTTAGACAATAAATGAAAATTAAAAAAATCCCACCTGCGCTTTCTCAATAATATTTTTACAGTGTGTTGTACTACTTTTGGGACAAATTATATCAAAATTATAGAAAACTTCATCGGCTCTAACTCAAAATATGGACAATTTTATGTTAAGGGGGTCTTCAAATCTTTTGACAGCTTCCGAAGTGCTAATTTTTAACATTTTTCAGCTGGACCAAATCACTACTTTACTTTAAAATTCATGACCCAAATTTTTTTACAGTGTCATTTCACCCCCCTACTTGCTATTTGAGTCATAAAACATGGAGAAATAAATTTGGAAGGGGTATAAAAAAAAATGGCAAGTAACACACTGTCCACACTAGGGACTACATTTGTGGACAACGAAAATCAAAGGACGATAACTGTGTACTCGGACCTACACTGTCCCTGATACACATATTAACAATTAAAGAACCTTTGTGAGCACGCTCACATACCCCACGTCCCCACATTGTCACTGGACAAACAAAATCTCACCAGATTCCTAAGTTCAAAGACTCATAACTCTACAAAACTCAACTGATAAACATTTATTTGTGGATATGCACATTAACATATTATGTCCTCATTAACTACAAAGTTTCATGAAATTCTGTTGTGTGGTTTCAGAGGAGTTGCGATTACAAACTGTTGCAGTAGTATATTTAGTCCAATTTTCTAAGTTCAAAGGGGCATAACTCCTAGAAAAAAATTGAATCATAATTTCCTGTCCATATGCACATCTTCATAGTATGTCCTTATTATCTAAAAAGTTTCATGAAATTCTGTTGTGTGGTTTCAGAGGAGTTGCGATGACAAGAACAGGACTGATGGACTGTAGTATATTAAGACCAATAAGTTCAAAAGGGCATAACTCCTAGGAAAACAAGAGTGCACACGCTGAAATGTCTCGCCTTCTTTACTGACCATCGATTTTATGTTGATAGTCCTAAATATAAAGCTTTACTAAAAGTATCACATAACCTAAACATGATCCAAGAAAATGAGGTCAAGGTCAGATAAACCAAACCGGAAATACATGTACACCTTACAATCATTCAATACACCAAATATAGTTGACCTATTGCTTATAGTTTCTAAGAAACAGACTTAAACAGGAAAACTAAACATTGACCAATGAACCATGAAAATAAGGTCAAGGTCAGATGAACCATGCCAGACAAACATGTACACCTTACAATCAATCTATGCATTAAAATTGAATCATAATTTCCTGTCGATATGCACATTTACATAGTATGTCCTTATTATCTACAAAGTTTCACGAAATTCTGTTGTGTGGTTTCAGAGGAGTTGCGATGACAAGAACAGGACTGACGGACTGACCGACAAACAGACAGACAGACAGACAGAAGGGTCAAAAACATTATACCAGACGCAATTTTATTGCAAGGGGTATAATTACTTAATTATTAGAATTACCTTAGCCGAGTCAAACGCACCCAATATAACTTAAAACATGGTCCTCTAGTGACGCATTCCACTATATATACTTCACTGTTTGACTGAAATCTACTGCAAACCATTTCAGTTATATATTTCATTCACAAGACTGTTTTCAACCAATGAAATTCAGATCTATCACAAAATAAATTAAAGAACCTTTGTGAGCACACTCACATACCCCACACCCCCACATTGTCACTGGACAAACAAAATCTCACCAGATGTCTAAGTTCAAAGACTCATAACTCTACAAAAGTCAACTGATAAACATTTACTTGAAGATATGCACATTCACATATTATGTCCTCATTAACTACAAAGTTTCATGAAATTCTGTTGTGTGATTTCAGAGGAGTTGCGATGACAAACTGTTGCAGTAGTACATTTAGGCCAAAATTCTAAGTTCAAAGGGGCATAACTCCCAGAAAAAAAATTCAACAGTAATTTCCTGTAGATATGCACTTCTACATAGTATGTCCTTATTATATACAAAGTTTCATGACAAACTGTTGCAGTAGTATAATTAGGCCAAAATTCTAAGTAAAAGGGCGTAACTCCTAGAAAAAAAATTGAATCGTAATTTCCTGTCGATATGCACATCAACATAGTATGTCCTTATTATTTACAAAGTTTCATGAAATTCTGTAGTATAAGTAAATTCTGTAGTATAATTAACTATAAAGGGGCGTAACTCCTAGAAAAAATTTAATCGTAATTTCCTGTCGATATGCACATCTACATAGTATGTCCTTATTATATACAAAGTTTCATGAAATTCTGTAGTGTGGTTTCAGAGGAGTTGGGATAACAAACTGTTGCAGTAGTATATTTATGCCAAAATTCTAAGTTAAAGGGGCGTAAGTCCTAAAAAAAAAAATTGAATCGTAATTTCCTTTCGATATGCACATTTACATAGTATGTCCTTATTATCTACAAAGTTTCATGAAATTCTGTTGTGTGGTTTCAGAGGAGTTGCGATGACAAACTGTTGCAGTAGTATATTTTGGCCAAAATTCTATGTTAAAGGGGTGTAACTCCTAGAAACTTAAGAATCTTAATTTCCTGTCGATATGCACATCTATAAAGTTTCATGAAATTCTGTTTTGCTGTTTCAGAGGAGTTGCGATGACAAGAACAGGACTGACGGACTGACGGACAGACAGACTGACGGACGGACAGACGGATGGACAGACAGACAGACGGAACGACAGACAGATGGACGGACGGGTCAAAAACATTATACCCTCCGCAACTTTGTTGCATGGGCTTTAATAAAACAAAGCTTACCTTCCACTACCATTCAAGTTATATTTGATTTTCTAGTCACATGACTGTTTTCAACCAATGAAATTCAGATCTATCAGAAAAAAATATAACAAGGCGTCCTGCCACTACCATTCAAGTTATATTTTATTCTTCAGATCTATCAGGAAAAAATATATAACAAAACTTACCAGCCACTACCATTCCAACTTGCAGACATTTTTTGAATCGACAGAACACACAGAGATTTCCAAAGAAATTTATATTACACTTCTTCTGCTTATTACATATGTACTGTCGCCTATCCTGTACAGCATTCACAAAGAAAGTATTGCAGCTGAAAACAAACACATATAATTAAAGTGTGTTCCATAAACAATGAAATGATACATAAAATAAACAAAGTTGTGATGTTACACTATTGTTTCAGAAAAAGGGTGAAGGTTTGGTACCATTAAAACGTTTAAACCCGCTGCATTTGTTTGCACCTGTCCTAAGTCAGGAATCTTATGTTCAGTAGTTGTCGTTTGTTGATGTGGTTCATAAGTGATTCTCGTTTCTCGCTTTTTATATAGATTAGACCGTTGGTTTTCCCGTTTGAATGGTTTTACACTAGTAATTTTTTGGGGCCCTTTATAGCTTACTGTTCGGTGTGAGCCAAGGCTCCGTGTTGAAGACCGTACTGTGACCTATAATGGTTTACTTTTATAAATTTTGACTTGGATGGAGAGTTGTCTCATTGGCACTCATACCACATCTTCTTATATCTATAAAGAGTGAATAAAAGAACAGAGTTCCAATGTACCCCGCATTGCACATATTTTATCTATCCAAGGTACAAGGGCAACAACTAAAAAAAAAAACATTTTATTAATATCTTAGAGAATCGTAAGGATTAGAGCAAATGCAATGTGATTTCCAATATACTTAATATTTCCAAGTAATTATTACATAGTGATAAACCTATGATATAAGTTTCATAAAAATCTGGCAAAAATTGAACAAATAAGAGCAAGGATGCAATTTTCTATATAATTAATGTTTCAAAGGGCATAACTCTTAAAAAAATAATTGATCGTGACTCATTATCGAACTCGTCTAAGACATTGCTGATATAAACCTTTTATAATTTTTATAAATTTTTTAAATAATTTAAGAATATTTGATTTTGAAATTCAAATATATACAACGAAATAAAATACACATTAATAGCACACTTTTTCAAAATTAACTCCTTTTAAAAAACAATCATCTTCTTATATCTATATATTCACATTTCTAATCATTCAAAAATATTCTTAATTTGTCAAAAAAATTATTACAGTATATAAATGTACCTCTGGCAAACTATGGTTCCAAAGAATGCTCCAATACTCTTATTACCACAGACACTACAAGGATGGGGACAAGTGTCTGGTTGATGATTCTCCTTGTCTGTGACTGAGGGAAAGGTACCAGAGTATTTAAACTCTCCTTGGATGTAATGGTCGACAAAGGACAGGAATTTTGTCCAAACATCTTGGTCCTTGAAACATTTCTTTTTTATAATAGATACCATTTCTTCCTTCCCATCATTTGTATTATGTTGCTTCCCTTTGTTATCCAGTCCATTTATTGGCTTTTTGGCCATCAGATTTTTTGCTTCATTTATCAGGGATGTTGTAACTTGTAACTGATTGATGATACCAGCTACCCTTGGAAGAGATTCAAATTTAACTTTCTCCTCTTTTGGTCCTAAGTTCTACATAAATATAAAATAAATAAATAAATATTTCTTAAATTGCTTACTGTGGATTTGTTTATTTTTCTGTTGACCAATTTTTTCGTGGATTGAGACAAAATTGTATTTTTCGAAGATATTTGAAATAGTGGTTTTGCTAAAATCTGCATATAAGCAAATTTTTGTACTTTATTGAAATTGGGTTTATACCAATACTCACGAAATACACAAAAAATGTGTCTCCTGCAAATAATAATGAAACCACAGTAATGATGTAATAAAACTTGCATACTTGTAGTAATTTTTGCCTTCAAATCTTCAAATTTACAAAAAAAATATCTGAGTCAAAAAATTATTATTGCAAGGTGTTGATGTCTGACAAGAGGGTCTGTCGTATATTACCATCATCTTTCCCTATCTTTTCACATGATTTGATACAAGCAAAAATCACTCTATTTGGCGATTGTCACTCTAAAGAATAAAATTTCACAGCAATTGCTGGTGATTTTCTGAGAATAATTCACGTGGAAATATTTTTATATACGTTCTCTATATTACATGAGAGGATATCATAAATCTGACTTTTGTCCCTCCAAATTACCTTAATATACCTGTTTCATATTGTTTCACTCAAAAACAGCTCCAGCAAGTTTTAACTAATTCACCTTGTGTGTTCTGTAAAGTAACATGTGGCACAGGATCTGCTTACTCTTCCGGAGCACCTAAGATCACCATCAGTTTTTGTATTGATCAGTCTTTAGTTTTCTATGTTAGGTTTTGTAGACTGTAGTGTCTTTAGGTCCTGCTAATTTTTTTAACTTATTTGAAAAGCCCTTTGGTATCTTCGTCCTCTGTGATCCCATAAAAAACATGGTTGAATAAACTGATCTAGCGGAGGAAATAAGAATCCAAGATGCGACTTTTAAATTTACCAAAATAAATAGGTTCATGTCAAATAAAACTGTAGTGGAAAGAATGATAAAACTTGCCATTTTTTTAATAAAGTGATTCCAAGCACTTTCTAGTTGTTTCTTCTTACAAATCTTGTTCAGTTCTGTGAGTTTTGAATCTAACAAGGACTTTGTGGACAGTTGTTTCTGATATATATCATCATCTTTCTCAGCACAACCTTCAAATCTCTTCCTTTCAGACAGAGACAGACTGTACCATTGGTTCACACACTTCACATTGAATTCAGACTAAAATAAAACAATATCTGAATGCATGCTATGATTCTAATTAGTGTTGTTGAATTGAACAGTTTTGCCTAACAGGTGACTCAGATAATCTTTTGACCTAAAAAACAGTATTTAAGGAGATGTGTAAAGGCCTTATATTCAGTACTCTACAGTTTTATAACACGATGAATTGAAGTTTATCTATGGGTATTTTAAGGCTTGGCTTTGCGCATTCCCAGATAAGTTTTACATTTAATAATTCAACTAGTACTATGACTGCTATGGCGTTTGTAATAACTTCAGATAGAGAAAATGAAAATCGTCTCGATCTCAGTTAATAGTAATCAATATACAGTACAATTGATCTGTCAAATTAAGTAGCACAACAATGAATTCAACAATACACATTTATTTATGTCAAATCTATTAAAATTGAAAAAAGGCCTGGTTAACCAGTTTGCATTTTTAGTATTCCATGTTCGGTACTTTTGACAGTTTTTTGGTTAACCCTTGACAACACTAATTCTAATCACCGGTTAGCACTGAGGGGTACAAATGGCTTTAATTTTGCATTATGAATTTTGAATTAAAAGTGTCATTGTATTAAACGAATGAACATTTTTGTGCTGTTGAACTACTGTCCTAGTTTCACAATTGGGTACTTGCAGCATATTTTGCTCATTATTGAAGGCCAACAGCAACCTGAAGTTGCTAGCATCTATGCCATTTGGTCTCTTGGAGAGAGTTGTCTCATTGGCAATTATACCACATCTTCTTATTTCATATTAGCCTCACCAAAAACTTTATGTGCCTGTTTTATTGCTGAATACCATATGCTTCTTTTTCATTTACAGTTTTAGCATAGGAAAGGCCATGGAAACTGGTTCATTTTTGTCATGCAAGAAATTTAAGAATTTAGTATATAGTATGGGTTTTGCTTTTGTTGAAAATTATAGTGACCTTTTATAGCTGACTATGTAGTATGGGTTTTGCTCATTGTTGAAGGCTGTACGGTGACCTATAGTTGTTAACTTCTATGTCATTTGGTCTCTGGTGGAGTTTTGTCTCATTGGCATTCATACCACATCTTCTTATTTTCATACATAAGCATTATTTTGAATGGAATTATTTTCCTTTGTCTGGATCCTTGTTATACAACCAAGATAGCAGAAAGTGGTGTCAGGAGCCTGTAGTTCAGCGGTTGTGGTTGGATCTTGTCTGACATATTTGTTTTTCGTTAATTGTTTCGTTATAAATTAGGCCATTAGTCAATTGAATTGTTTCATATTTTTCATTTCGAGGACTTTTATAGCTAACTATATACAGTATGGGTTTTTCTCATTGTTGAAGGCCATATGGTTGCCTATAATTGCTTACCGTATTTATTCTAATTAAAGCCCCCCTTCTAATTAACGCCCCCCTACCGAAAAACGTGTGTTCAGAACTTTTGACTTCTAATAAACGCCCCCATTTTGTAGTTACAAAATAAAATTGAAACTAACTCATTACAATATTGCAAAGGACATCGACCTGGTCACTCAGAAACATGAAACGAAAAATCAATAATGCCCATGTTTTAATCCACTCCGATAATATAACACAGTGTGTACAAGTTCCAAAAATAGATCTGTCAGTTACGCAGTACGCTATCAGTAAAGTTCAACGTTATAAACAGGCATGCATTTCTAAACTAATATTGAATAAATTTATACATCAAATGTTATTGTTTTCAGTGACCAGGACTATCATAGTCTGATTCTGTAGCCTCATTGAGGTCAGAATCTATTTCACCCTCACTCTCGCTAACTTCCATGGCTTCTTCGTCGTACGCTGAAACGTTAGCCAACATTTCCTCATCCATTTCGACATCTTCCACGTCGAACCCTTCGAAAGGATCATTATCATCATCGTGGTCATTTTGAAATAAATGATCTTCACTTCCGTCCAACTCATTCGAGATCCCACACTTTTTAAACGATTTTCGTATAATTTCTGGAGTGATAGAATCCCATGCTTTTTTAATCCAACTAAGAATTACGGACTTTGAAGGGGCCCGTCTGTTGCCACCTTTGGTTCTCTCAACAGGTCCATTAAATAACCATTCGTCATACATTTCCGATATGTATGATTTAAATGGCCTATTCCACGAAACATCAGCTGGTTGTAATTTTGAAGTGCAGCCTCCGGGAATTACAGCCATGTCCGAAATTGTACTTCATTCGTACTGATTCCTTTACTCTCGGAGTGATATGTGCTCTAAATGCATCCCATACAAGTAATCGCCGTTTCTGATTGTTTAATCCCCACACTCTTTTCAACCAAAAGTTGATACTATCCTCATTGGCCCAAGATTTCTTTCCTGAACCACACATGTATACAACAACACCGTTTGGTATTTCATTTTTTGGAAGTGGACGAACACCGGGTAAATGAACTAAAGGAGGCAGCTTTGTGCCATCAGCATATGCAGCTAGCGTGACTGTCAATTTTTCTTTTTCGTGTCCGGTTGATGCCATACGTATCTCTCTCTCTCCGCATTCTGCTAATGTGGATTTCCCTGGCATTTCAAACCATACAGGAGTTTCGTCCATATTCCCGATTTCACTTGTAGCATACCCTCGAAACCGTCTCATACGGATTACAAAGTTTAGAAATTTGTCAATGCGGTCATCAACAATTGATTTTGAGTGTTGGGCTACATGCGTTGCTCGTCGGAACGTAATTCTATGACGCTTTTTAAATTCATTAAACCACCCAAGAGATGCCTTAAACGATTGGCTTCCATTCTCCTTGTGAAGTCTCAATGCTTCAATTCGCATTGCTTTTCCTGTCACGCGAATTCCCGCACTTCGTTTCTCCTTAAACCATATCATCAATTTTTGATCAATTTCCTTGTACTTAACAGGCCGTCCAGCACCTGGTAGTCTTTTCTGATTTTTTGATCCACTTTCAATTTTACATTTATTTTGGGACCATTCGCGCACACGTTTTCTGTCAACATTGTAAAATTTTGCTGCAGCATGTTTCCCTTTTTCTTCGGCAAATTTTATAACTTTAAGTTTAAAACTAAACGTATATTTATTTTTATGTGTTGACGATTTCGATTCCATTATTTTGGTCTTACTATTAAAATCCTTGTTCTATTTCAGTAATTTTTTAAGTTTTTCAATATCAGTATTGTTCCCGGAAAATGTGTATAGGCAAGGTATTTCAAGTCCGATATTAAAAAACTTGCTTCCAGTCACAGTCGCGTTGATTTTGCCTCCTCTTTTTAAGAAAAAGTTGAAGATTTTACTATGTTCGATCGGCACGTGGCCTACACATTTTTCTTCATTTCCAATGACAAAGACGAGTTTGACGGCAAATTTATCGTTTGGATTATCTTCCTCTTGTTCACATCTTAGTTTGTCACCGATTGCATAACTCCAGATACTTTTGTATACATGATATCCCCTTATTGAGCTGTTGAAATTATGTTCCATTGATGTGCACGCTTGTTCATTCGAAAATTTTAACAAAATATTTGATGAAGTCAAATTACCGATAAACGCTATTTAAAGATTATGGAGACAATTAGAAACACGTGTAGGTAACTATAGTCTGTTTCAACAAAATTCAGTTAAAGGTCAATGAAGTAAGGTACGAAATTCGTTTCTCTAATTGACGCCCCCCTTTTGGAAATTGTCTTCGCCCCCGGGGCGTTTATTAGAATAAATACGGTACATCCACTTTATTTGAACTTTGGTGGATAGTTGTCTCATTGGCAATCATACCTCATCTCATTATTTTTATATTAAACACCATTTAACAAACAAAAACTAGAGGCTCTCAAGAGCCTGTGTCGCTCACCTCTTTATACGGTGGTTTTGGAAATCAAGTAAAATAAGGTTAAAATCATAATAAGTAGTATTAGATACCCTAATAATGATTGAGGCCAAGTTTAATTTAATTTGGCCCAGTAGTTAAATTAAAAGCAGGTCATCCCACTAGTAACTAGTCTTACAATAGTTACTGAAGACCCCTTATCATTATTTAAATTAGTTTTCAAGTTGTGACAATTTGAAATTGGTTTTTTTTTTTTTTTCCCAGAGACTTCTATAGTAAATCCCTATCTTATATTTTTAGCCATTGCGGCCATGTTGGTTGGATGGCAGGGTCATAGGATACATTTTTCCTTCAATATACTCTATTGATGATTGTGGTCAAGTTTGGTTTAATTTGTCTAACTAGTTTCAGAGGAGTAAATTTTTGTTACTTTGCTGAACATTATTGCTGTTTACAGTTTATCTTTATCTATAATAATATTCAAGATAATAACCAAAAACTGCAAAATTTCCTTAAAATTACCAATTCAGGGGCAGCAACCCAACAATGGGTTGTCTGATTTGCCTGAAAATTTCAGGACATATAGATCTTAACCTGATGAACATTTTTATCCCAAGTCAGATTGCTCTTAATGCTTTAGTTTCAGAGATACAAGTCAAAAACTGCATTTTACCTCTATGTTCTATTTTGGCCATGTCGGCCATGTAAGTTGGCAGGTGGGGTCATCAGACACATTTTTTTAACTAGACACCCTAATGATGATTGTGGCCAAGTTTAACCAAACTTGGCCCAATAGTTTCAGAGGAGAAGATTTTTGTAAACGGTTAATGGACAATGGACGACGACGACGACGGATGCAAAGTGATGAGAAAAGCTCACTTGGCCCAATGGGCCAGGTGAGCTAAAATTCATACAATGAATAAATAACAAACCAATAATAAATCTTCAGGTCTGCTAACTTTGGCCTCCTCTACACATTGTTGTAAATAAAAGTGAAATGGTGATCTCCAATGACCCATGAACTGAAAATAAAGATTAAAGTAGAGCTTAATAATGACAAATAAAAAATATAGTAAATGCCAAAAACACATGACAGTGCCTGGTGAGAATTCATAGCCTGATCAGTTTCGGTCCTTCACAGACATTCCTCTAACAAAAGTTCCATTTGGAGCTACTTTGTTTGGAGTCCTCTTATGTCAGTATACCATTAATACATACTCATCTAATATTTAGGTAGAGCTTAATAATTTCACAGTTGTTATTGTTGTTTCTCATTTTTATGTTTGTGCAAACACAACCTAGTGCTATGCTTTATTACATTAGTTTTCTCTAAAAGATTGATGTGGATAATTTATGGTTCAATGTTCACATGATGTATTCAAAACCATTCCAAAGAAAGTATTACCTACCCTCCCCCCCAATTTTTTTTTAATGAAATAGCCTTGTAATGGTAGTTTAATATAAAATGAATACTTATCAGACATCTTTATATAAATTTTACTACACAATTCATTTGAATCAATCAAATTTTCAAACTATTTTCTTTTCTCTAAAGAATGAAAGAAATTTGAAATGCCACAGCTTTCATAGCTGACTATACAATATAGGTTTTGCTCATTATTGAAGGCAGTCTAGATGTTTACATCATCTTCCTTTGGTCTCTGGTAGATATACTGTAAATTCAGAAATCATCGTGTGCATTTATTATTGCGAATTTTGTAGAATGGACTTAAATGCAAGATTAATTATTGCGATTTCAGGAAAATCTGCATGCAGTTATAAGTATCATATATAAGAATGCAAATTCTTTTTATTACGATACTAATTCAGTAGCATTATTCGCATTAATAAAAACCTCGTATTTATTTCTGAATTTACAGTACTTATCCCATTGGAAAATCATACCATCTCTCTCTATATGTTTACATTAAAGAGACATTAGTTTAAATACCTTATTAAGGTCAAATTGTTCCCATACAATTTCTTCTAATCTTTTTTCACTCAGCTGAAAGAAAAAAGAATCATTTCTTCAATAAATTTAGCTCAATTTTCTTCTAGCACACAAGAACCATGTGGTAACATTTTCTTTTTGTTGTAATGTTTTGTTTCTTATAGAAGCTCAAAAAATTATTTTGTGGTTAGGGGTTGGTGATTGTGAAGCACTCAAACTAACTTAAATATGGTTGTTTGCATTTTCTCAGAATTTTGTAGGAATCATTAGTGAAAATTTTCATTTGTGGGTGTCAAAATTAAAAAAAAAAAAGGGCCTCCCATGAGTTTGATTCTGGAACAGCCCTTATATAGGCATACATGATTGGTCCGGAATAATTGAAATTTTAAAAGCATACGAGGACAAACACTGTAAAAGCATCGAGTATCGTAAGGTGGTGGATCGGACTTGGACATGTAAATCTTAATCAATATATCTCCAAATTTCAGTCATTTTTTGAAATTCTCAATATCCATAACTAGAAGTCTGTAATTTTTCTTTACTGATTTCAAATTTGAAAATCAGAGCTCTCATGGCTTATATATATGACTCTATCTTACCTTGACAGATCTTTCAGGCTCTTTTGGCCATAATATTTTAACAGTGGAATAACCAATTTCTTGTGTGGCTTTATGAAGCTTCCTCTGAAAATATAAAATGGATTGTAAGACTTAAGACTTTTTTTTTATATAAAGGATAGTTGGCTATATTATAATAGAAAAACAAAGGATATGGGTATCCATCTATGCCACTAAATCAGCAAATGCACAGAAAAAAAAAAACACAAAAGCAAAGGAAAAGCCCTTTTATTGCTGTTTTTTATCTCAAAGTCAAAGTGAGGCCTTTAACATGAAAATAATTTGAATAGACTTTGTAACATAAGATGTAACACCTCCATATCGGAAAAATACATACGCATACCTGTAAATATCAAACAGTGTTTAGTGTATTTTAAGTAAATATTAATCAATTGTTTTAAAAACAATTGTTAACAGTCTTTCCCCTTTGAAACATGATTGATTAATTGATTTTTTTGATTGATTGATTGATTGATTGATTGGTTGGTTGGTTGGTTGACTGATATACTTATCAAACACATGGGATAGGGTCTCTTGGAACAAGTGAAAAAAGAAACAGATGAGATCTTGGACCCGTATTAAATAGATTGATTGATTGATTGGTTGGTTGGTTGATATTGGCACTCTCTCTATGCGAGGCATTGGACTTGACGTCCATATTCTGACCGAACGTGGCTGCTTATTTATACATCCCGGACAGCCCAACGGACAGCCTGGATTTCCTAATGAATAATAATCCTTACATCTTCCTTTATAAATTTTCTGTATTTTCTACGGCAACTCTGACTTCCTGTTTTTTTATTTGATGTGTGTGCATTTTGTTTGAACTTGTAGGAATACTGAGTAACACTTCGTCTTGGAAGTTTCACTTTCTATATTTGGATATGGAATGTTTTATCCTAAATTTAGGTCCGCGAGCATGGTGGTGTTTGTAAAGTCATGTGACGCTCAAATATATATGTCTGGAGTTAATATCTTTTCAGGGGAGACGAGACCTGTGTATTGATAAGAGTAAAAGAAAAGTGGAAAGACTTAATTAAGGTATTAATGAAATTTTTTATGTTCCCAGTATCTTACAAAGACAGTATTTAGGCATATCATGACCAGTATTTGTACAAATACATCATACTTATAAAATGGTAGGAACGTTCCTGAAATTGCAGTGAAGTGTAGGTTATTACTTCATGTTGAAGACACTCTTTCTAACTTTTGATCTCAAATAAATTGATGAAGGTAATTTCAGTAACAAGTAATGTGTTGACCCAATCTATACGATTGAACTTGAAATAAAAGATACCTCTTGAAGATACAATTAAGTATGCCTTAATTTTTTTACATTTAGAAATTCAGGATTGATTGAATACAAAACTTTACAATAAAAAAGATGATTTCAGCTTTTAAATTGTGAACCATCATGATTTCCTTGATTAAAGGTTACTGCTTACAAGGAAGATATTGAATCAAGAGTTTCAAGTGAAAAAATTGAAGTCCTCTCTTCGAAAGTTTTATGATTGCCATCATAAATTTGTTTACTGTTTAGGAATATCTGTGTTCCAAACAACCAAGGAAATTTTCCAATTATGGCAGCCGTAATCCTGTCCTCCTCTAACATCAATGAATGATACTCATCTGCCTTATTTTTACAGTAGTTACACAATTTTATCAATTGGAAATAAACAGATAAAATGTAGAATTTGAATCATGCAAACACTGAATCATTCAGACTACTTTCCATAGACACTGGGTTATAATCAAAGCACTAGTGAATCCTGTCAGAAAAGATTACTTTTACATGGTAAGCAATATTTTGAATTGGAGTTATATTCCTTTGTGCATTTAGGTGTAACACCACTAATTTGGACCTGGTCAGAAAGCACATACCAGAAAGTAGTACATATTTAACAAAAAAATAATTCCTACGCATGGGTGGAACTTTCAAAATATGTAGAATATGAAAGCTGAATGACTTGTGATCTTTGTAGAACACTTTTTGACTTATAATTTTGGATAATAAAAAAATTTGCATGAAATTTAAAAAGGAGGGTACATTTTGCCTGTTTGTCAGATCCGAAGTACCTGTTTTTGTACATCCGAAGTTCCTGTTCCGAGGAACCAGTTCTCTCTTATATGCCATTAAAGGTATGTTGATTATTTCAGTACAAAACACCATAAAGTGTTGCTTTGAAATGCAATGATTGTCACTTTATTTGAACTTAAAACAACAGAGCCGTGTCTGCTTGAAATTGAGGAATTAAACATAGAAAGTAATGGGGCAATGAATTAGTGGTGTACTTCCTTTAGTGCAATCTTAACCCCACAAATATTAAAAATTTTACCAAAGTAGTTTGTATCTGACTCATTGTGTCAGTAATTTCTTTTTTGTATCGATTCAAGAGTTTTCTCCCTTGCTCATAATTGTCTTCATCTTTTTTCATCAGATTGATGTAAACCTGTCTCTCCTCTTCAGACATTTTATGCCACTTTTTTACAGAGGCTCTACAAAAATGCTCTATCTGAAAAGAAAGATGAAAATTTTCATTTTAAAGAGCTAAATGTACGAAAAAACTAAAGGCTGCCCCAGAATATATAGAGTTCCCCTCTACTCTGGGCTGACATTTTTAGTTAGACGGACCATTCTTTTAGTATTTCAGTTTTAGAAAGTGCACTGATTTTTCAATATCTTTTTCAAATGAACGTTTTTCAATTTAATGATTTTGATATCAGGAATCAGCAAAGGTGAATAATTTTTTTTTGTAAATGTCACCTATCAAATCATTTCCAGAGGGAGGGTTCACTAATTTTATTTCTAGTTGGTTTTTATTCTTCATTTGAAAAAATACTTTTCCTGTATTCAAACATATATGTACAAATACATTATACATTTGAATATCAACATGATGGGGAATCAACAACATTAAATAGCAATATATTGCTGAATAGTTTTCAAACTACATGTAATAGCATTATAATGGTGAATAAACATGATAAACAACATGAACAAATAAATTGTATTTTAGAAAATGTACTAGTAAGAGTGATGCATTTTTGTTTATTTCTTATAAAGGCAAATCTATGATAATAGCAACTTAAATAAACCTAAATTATTGACTAATATAAAATGATTATGACACTGATTTTACATGTAAAATAGACCCTGATTGTATTTTCTTCATGACAGACCTACCTTGTATAATTCCTGAGAGTCTTGTTTTCTGGCCTCCTCTATACAGTATTGCTGGTAATAATGACAGACCTACCTTGTATAATTCCTGAGAGTCTTGTTTTCTGGCCTCCTCTATACAGTATTGCTGGTAATAATGACAGACCTACCTTGTATAATTCCTGAGAGTCTTGTTTTCTGGCCTCCTCTATACAGTATTGCTGGTAATAATGACAGACCTACCTTGTATAATTCCTGAGAATCTTGTTTTCTAGCCTCCTCTATACAGTATTGCTGGTAATAATGGCAGGCTGACTTCCATTTACCATTAACCTAAAATATAGTGATACGTGACTAGACACCAGTAAGACAGCAACCAAACAACAATGCAAATTTGGATCCTGATACATGATTACTGTAAATTCAGACTAATTGATGAGACTGGTTAATGCATATGCAGGTATACAGATAAAAGTATTTGATATCAAAACGTGAGTTCTTTATATTGTGATTCTCACCTAGTAGCATTATTCACATAAATAAAAACCTCATAACAATTTCTGAATTTACAGTATTCATAATTCATTGGAACAGAAATGAGTTGTTTTGCATTTACAAATCAAAAAATTCCAAAGGCTAATTAAAGTCTCAATTGTCAGTTGAAAATAGCAACTCTTTCAATGGTTAAATTATGTAAGAATTTGTGTTAGTTGACCTGGAGCATGCATAGTGAAAAAGGGAAATAACTCTAAACTTAAAACTATGTCAATTGAAAATTGTATATAAACAGTCATTGAAGTTCTTTTCTTGAACATATAAAATATTGTATATAAACCGCCTGATGCTTATTTTTGCATTTTTGGAAAGCTGTCTCATTGATAATTACTTGTTATTCACCTAGAATTTACTCAATATATTGAACAGACAAATCAGGACCTATAACTCTGCACAGAATATTCATAAATGTAAAATTTCATGCAAGATGTATTTGAATAGACCAGATGTTTGCACAGATGTTAGTAGAGCTTCCTCTACACAGATGACCCCCACTTTTAGGTTGCATTTCTGTAAATATAGACAATGCAATTTCCCATAGGAACTCCTTTTACGGCTAAAACTGTACCACTTTTACAATGAAGTTTCGTAAAAAATTGTATCCTGGAATGGAAAGCTCATATGCACTACTATTTTTTGCAAAGGTCAAAATATAGGGCTGTGTGGCATATTTTCAACATTTATATGCCACAAACTTCTAAGAGTTTAAACCTTTACTCAAATTCTGTACTACCCCTCCCTTCTTTTTGGGTCTTCTTCAGAATTCAAGGCACCCGCTATTCATGTTTATTTATACTGGTAACATTCCCAAGTTATGTCTCTATGAGATAAAACACAGAGATCATATCTGGGAACCAGTACATAAACAAAACAAAATATCTATGAATATAATATATCCCCCCCCCCCCCCCCCTCCAAAAGAGGTGTGGTTTGTGAAACAGCTGTATTCATAAAGTGCAACCTGTAAGTATACAGCAAATTCATAGATTTTCTATTTATAAAGGATCATAACTCGAGAAGGTTGAAAGAAGTCACCCAAAATCAACATTGATTCATGTTTGGTGGTAATATTAAAGCACTGTGTGTAAGTTTCATAACATTTGATTGAGGCAAAGTAAAGTAGATTGCAGAAACAGCAAATTCAGCAATTTTTCCCTTTATAAAGGGACATAACTGGAGAAGAGCAAAAGTGACGCTACCCACATTCAAATTTGATCTGTGTTTGGTGGTAATAAGAATTAAGTACAAGTTTCATAACATTTGTTTGAGGAAAACTAAAGTTTGAAAATGGTAAACTTATTTTTGGACGTACAGACAATCAAGTGTAAAACTTAATGCCCCCTACATGTTTGGGCATTACAGGAAAAGAATGGTCAACAGAATATGACATCAGGGGACAAAAAAAAATTTGAAAGTGATAGGGTTTTAAAAAAATTTGTAAGAGTTCCGCAGAACCCAGTGTCTCACCTACTTTTGCTGTTAATCGCAGACTCAACAAAAATGAGGAAAAAAATTAATAAAAATATTCCTCTCTATACTATCTTTTGATAGTAAGTAGCTTCTGTCCAAGTTTGGTAAAAATCCAGGATACATGTAGTTTATGAATCTAATAAATGTTTTAAAAACTTAAACTGCAGACTGTATGTAATGTTAACTGGAAGAAAAACTAAGTCCATTTATAAGTAAAATAAGGAAAAAATGGAACAAAATTTTAACAAAATTTCCTTCTAGATACTAGCTTTTAATTATAAAACAAGCTTCTATCCAAGTTTGGTACAAATCCATGATAGTTTAAGAAAGTTGTTAAAAAGTTTAAGAAAGTTGTTAAAATTTTAAAAACTTTAACCACAGAGTGAATGTAATGTTTCCTGGCAGAAAAACTAAGTCCATTTATAAGTAAAATACGGAAAAAATGGAAATTTGTTTTTACAAAATTTACTTTTGAATATTATCTTATGATCATAAACAAGCTTCTGTCCAAGTTTGGTAGAAATCCAGGATAGTTTAAGAAAGTTATTAAAATTTCAAAAACTTTAACCACAGAGTGAATATTTGTGGACGCCGCCGCCGCCGACGGAATGTATGATCACTATGTATCGCTTTTTCAACAAAAGTCGAAGGCTCGACAAAAACATAAGGACGCCCCTCCCTTACCATTAAAACATGAAAACAACCCTTGGCACATTATAATAATTTCAGACTAATTTCTGGTAATGGTAGGATATAAATAACAAGCTATATCATGTATATGAATCTTACCCTTTTTTTAATAAAAGAAGAAAGACTTGTATCAAATAGTTCCTTCTCTGAGACATATGTGATCTGAAAATAAAAATAAAAATAAACAATCATTTCATGAAAAAAAAATGTCAATGAATAAATATCATACAAGTTCACACCTACTGCAAACTGGTGTCTTTTTGCAGAAAATAAATTTCCTGCTTTATAAAGGCCAACACTGTAAGATTGTATTTGTTTCTTTACTTTCAAAATGGTGTCTTTCATCAGAGATTAAATTTCTTGCTTTTTTAGGACCAAACTGGTGAGATTTTATTTGTTTCTATACTTGCAATGGAGTTTTGTCATGTGTGTGCATGATGGATGGATGGGTGGATTTTTATCTACACAGGCAAATTAAATGTATTTTCATGATTGCAAAGTGGAGTCTTTTTGCAGAGATTAAATTTCTCACTTTTTGAAGCCCAAACCTGTGAGATTTTACTTGTTTCTATACTTGCAATGGAGTATTGTCAAGTGTGTATAAAATGGATGAATGGATTGTTAACATCTAGAGGCTAGTTATATTATAATTCAGGGTGAGGACACGCTAATGTGATATGACTATAGACCCAGCTTTGTACAAGACCTACAGGAAGTTACAGTCAGCAGGAAAAGATGTCACCCTACCGGAAAAATTATTCTGACTTCGAGGTTACCAGTCTTTGGTCGAACCACTAAATGCTGGGTGTTTTGTAGAGAAGAAGCAAATACCAATTTTCAAGTCTTTGTTTTGAACTGGTCTTGAAACAGCATGCCACTATGACATCACTGAAGCAGTTCAGTGTGTGTAGAAATTTGTGTCATAAATAAATAAGTAAAATCTACTGTCTGTGTAGTTTGTTTTCTTTTATTTTCTAAAAAAAAGTGTGAGCCCTGAAATTTGTATCAAAAATTGTTTCTTTGCCATGACTTCTTTCGAGATAGTGTCGGGACTTTTTGCCAGTAATACAGAATATAATAAGTATACCATATCCCTTCTTTATCACTTTAAGTTACAAACCATTTTAGACCTTTCAACAGCATCTCTCTTTGCCCTTCTTTCACTCTTATCTTGAAACACCACCTCTGGTTCTAACAGTAACTGTTTCTTCCTATAATCCTCTCCTTCAAACTTATACAATGTGAACGGTTCCTCGTCCATCGTGAATGACTTCATGTTACCATCACTAACCTTATCCAGCTTACTTTTCACTTCATCAGTCTAAAAATAACAAGAATATGTGTCTAAAGAAAACCATGACCTTCTCACACTATCTGATTTCCATGTGCAGTGAACCATGAAATCTAGGTCAAATTGGTCAAAATCCTTATTTGCCATGTATTGTAAAAAGTTCACTTCATATTGAAACTACCCTGAACAAAAACTTTAACCTATCTTAAACAAAAACTTTAACCAGATATGGGACTAATGAAGGGACAGATGGCAGAGCTTAAAATATGAATAGTCTGATAGAACATATCAAATGCATATATTCAGGATGATAAAATGTTTAAATAAAAAAAAAATAAACAAAATTATTTTTCAGGCAATATTTTTTTTAAGGCATACAACAGGTATATAACATCTTCTGAACACTCCAAATAACTGAACAGATTTTAAAGGATGTACTCTACTCTAGACAGTCAAAGCAACAGGGATAATATTACTGTAATCAGCCTTGTAAAGTCTGTGTTACATTGTCCTTAACCCCTTTTTGCCACCAGAATCCAGGAAATAAACTTTTTGTAACTGCTTGAAATCATGCATATATACTAAACTAAGTCCTGTATGCATCTTTTTTATATTTATTACAATCTATAATGTATTATTATCGACAAATAATATTTCACTCAATGCTAATCAACCTTCCAGTTTGTTGCCAAAAGTTACCGGATCATGACATTATAAAAAATCAACACAGAGCATGTGGACCACATGACAAATAAGTGAATTGATAGAGCTGTGATATTTTTTTTGTATTTCCTATGTGTTCCAATTTGATAATCAAACTTTACTTAACATTTAATTAATGTGTTGTAATTAAATTGTTCTTTAAGAACACTATGGCATTTATTTTAGCCCTCCCCCTTTTTTCCAAAGTCCGTTACTTTTTGTTTTCTGTTAATTTCAATTATTTTCAGGTTTTTCTGTATTCTATGAACATACACATAAAATAAATAAAGTGTATTTGCTATTTACTATCAATTCCAAGTTTAATACTATCCACGGCGGTCACTGATATATTATATATAGATTCTCTATATAATATATCAGTGACCGCCATAGATAGTAAACTAGGAATTGATAGTAAATAGCAAATACACTTTATTTATAGTATATGTATGATCATAGTATACAGAAAAACGTGAAAACCATTTTCCTGTCCCCAAGTACTTATATTATGAAAATTATGTGTAATTTTAAAACAGTCCTAAACGGAAGTCTTGTCTACAACTTAAAAGTCCGTCCGATGACGGAAATAATATTCGGACGTCTTTTTTTTCGTTTTCCTCCCAAAATAACCCAAACTGAAAGATCATAAGCGAGGATGACAAATACGACTATGCATGGTACCTATAGGACACAGAGGCATGCTGATTAATTTATTGTGGAAGGAAGAGAAGTGACACACAAAATAAGGTCTTCTCATTTAAAAGTATAGATATGACTCTTAACTTCTTAGTCATTTTGGTCTCTGTGGCAGAGTTGTCTCATTGGCAATAATACCACATCTTCTTATTTCTAAATTAAGTTGAATATTTTCATGATTATCAGTGGTACAAAAATTACATTAACTTATGAATAAGAGAAATGATACAAAATAACTGACCTTTGTTTTTCCTTTGGATAGAATTTGATCAATATTTTCGTCTGTGATTTCTGAATCTTTGGAGGCACATACATGTCTGGCTCCATGTTGGATCATAGATAACATGTTCTTCTTATCTAATTTCCTGGAATCATGTTGTAATCTTCCTGTAAAAATTTTTGGTAATTAGTTAAAGACACCACAATGGAAACCAGACAAAAACATCTTTGTGCCAAATATAAGTTGTTGGAATCATGTTGTAATCTTCCTGTAATTTGTAAAAATATTATGCAAATTAATTCATTACACCACATGGAAACCAGAGACAAAAACATCTTTGTGCCGAATATAACTTGTTGAAATCTTTCTGTAAAAATATTAAGCTTCTTAATTAAATACACCACAGAGAAACCAAATACAACAAGAATGTGTCCATAGTACACGGATGCCCCACTCGCACTATCATTTTCAGTGGTCAATTTTTGACATTTACTTGAAATTTCTGTTTCTTTGACATATCTTTCCTTTGGAAACACATACCAAATTTGTTTGCTTCAAAAGACAAATGCAAGTGGATTTTTGTAAAAACATTAGGAATATCTTCTCTTCATAAGTGTGCTTAGGATTTGTGTAATAATTTTTTTGAAATAATTCATTTTTATCACATTTTCATGATTTTAGTCAAAAAACGACATTTTTTGCTTTATATTTATCCAATTTAAAAAAATTTCATAAGCAATTTGTTGATAAAAATTGGCACAAATAATTTTCAGGGCTATTCCATTAAAATGTCTGTGGGAGGGTAGGAAGAGAAGTTTAATTATTGAATGTGGGTCATGGGTCTTTTTCAGTTTGCATCTATTACCATTATGCAAAATTATCTAAAAAATGGTTCTTGGTTGTAGGGATATTTTGAAAGTCCCTTCCTGACCTCCACATACATTTTAATGGAATAGCCCTCACTCAAAATCAAGCCAAATGTCATTTTTAAAAAGAGAGGTCTATGAACTTGTTTCCAAGTTAAATCAGTTTGAACAAGTAAAACTGTGAGCTACTGCTCACTGATGATACCCTCGCCGAAATATTTCGGTAAACAGGAAGTTGTTGAGTGATGAATCTGAAAACTCATCACACGGTGTAACTTACTTATATAAACCCTGAAACCAAATTTCAGAAATCCTTGTCAAGTAGTTCCTGAGAAAAATGCGACAAAAATATTCATGGGACGGACGGACTGACGGAAGGACAGACAGAGGTAAAACAGTATACCCCCACATTTTTAAAGCGGGTGTATAATGATAAAAATCAGTTGAAAAATGCATCTTTTCCCAATACATGTCACAGTTTTAAGTCGTGAAAAATAACATTTTACCTAAGCAAAGTTATTACCTCACTGTAACTGTATCATATGCCCTTAACCAAAGCCATACATGTGTAAATGAAGAAAAAGGTGACCTAAATTTAGTGTGGTGCATGTGAACAAGTTAATTGAAAGCTAGTTTAGGCATAATAATGGTCAAAGAAATATATTTAAAGCTAATTTAACTGCTTATGATCACTGAGTGGAAAAATTACTTTTATTTCATATTGAGAAATGCATTGTATTAAGTAAATGGAATAAAAGTTAGTGTTTTGAATAGGAGTTATTTTCCTTTTTCATAATTTTAGGTAGAAAAGATAATTTTATATGCCTTGTACTACTTTTGAAAATAACGCAATCTTTAATAAAATCACTTTCTTGGTCAAGTATGACTAAACAAATACACATCATTTTAATATAATAAATTGCTTGACATTGGCATAAATTGGATTTAATGTATTTTCACCTCACTGCAATATACATGTATATGTTAGGTAAGGTCTGGAATATAATTAAATATTTAGCTGTCAAGCTCAGTGCAATCTTTACCTCCAAAATAATCTCCCATTGTGTTTTGTCAGTTTCTTATCAAAGGACTAGCGCTGTGATTTAAACTGACATTCCAGTTAATACCATTATTAATACTGTAAAATCAGAAATTTGTGTGTGCATTTAATGTTGTGATTTGTTGAACAATAGACAAAAATAAGAAATCGATTACTGTAATTCATCAAACGTTCCATAATTCTGAATTCATGTTTTTATTCATGCCAAACCTATCTTGCTGCAGTTTTCATAATACTGTTAATTCAGAAATTATTGGGTGCATTTATTATTGTGTTATTGGACAATCTATATATACACAAATGAGTTTTATAGCCATTTTAAGAAATCCTGCATTAAAATTATGCTACCATAATTCAAAATACAAATCATTTTATTGCAACACCTATCTCGTCACAATTTTCAAAATAATAAAATCCTCGCAAACATTTCTGAATTTATAGTTTCCATAAACCAGATGATCAGATTTGAAGTTAGAATCATACCTTGTTGAATAACAATCCTATCAAGCCTCAGTTTCATCTCAGCCCTTTCTATGATTCTCTCCTCCACAGTATTTTCCGTAATGAAACGGAAGATTTGTACTTGTTTTGTCTGACCAATTCGATGTGCTCTATCCTGGAAGAGACAAAATTACCATGTTAACTGAAACATATTTGTCATTTTGGGTTTTTTAACAAGACATTGCCACTATACGGTATTGGTTTTGCTCAATGGTGAAGTCTTAAGGTGAAACATAGTAGCTTACATTAACATCTTTTGGTATTAGGTGGATAGTTTTCTCATTGGCCAATCATACCATATATCCATTTGTTCATAATTTGTAACATACATTAGATACAATCCAGGTAAACTTATCAGTCCTTTAAATAAACTTATTCTAAAAGGTTACCTATTCAACACTGAAATTAAATCTTTGAATATTGTTTTTATTGGTATAAATATTGATTTTGTTGTCAGTAAATTAAAACCATACTAAATATTACACATATGTACTTTCACGGTACTAAAATCTGTCGATACCTATAGTTTGGCATTGCACAAGGTCATGTTTTTCTCTGACTGTTAATGAAGTCTTTACACTAAATCTATTGGATGTTGGATGTGTACCGATTTATATTTTAGTCTATGATACATGATTTGTTTTATTAGTTGTTATTGGCTTTGAACAAGCTGTCAGTAACTGGGAGTACTCTCATATCTGTACTTAGTGTCTTTTTGTTGTGTGGATGTATAAGTACCCGTCCACATCCACTTTTTGTTTTTGTTAGATGTATTTCTATCAACTGATTTTTATAGTTTGTTCTTATGTTGTACTATCACACCACTGTCCCAGGTTAAGGGGAGGGGTGAGTGCTCACAAACATGTTTAACCTCGCCATATTCTTGATGTGCCTGTCCCAAGTCAGGAGTCTGTAGTTCAGTGGTTGTCGATGGTTCATGTCTGTCATATTTGTTTTTTGTAAATTGTTTTGTTATAAATTAGGCAGTTAGTTTTCTCAATTGAATTGTTTCATATTCTTCATGTCGGGGCCTTTATAGCCTTTATAGCCAACCATACGGTTTTTCTCATTGTTGAAGGCCGTACGGTTGCCTATAATTGCTTACATCCACTTCATTTGAACTTTGGTGGATAGTTGTGTCATTGGCAATCATACCACATCTCCTTATTTTTATATTTAGCAAATTTGATTATTTTTCTTTCATCTTTATTCTGTAATTGTAATGTTTTGGGCACCTATTCACACCATTAGCTATAGGTTGTTATGGAACATCACTGACATGCTGTGGTACAGCAACTGCGGACCACTTATTCAGAACACCAGAGGTCAACGGTGGCATCTAGTGGTGTTCATGATGCCCACCAGAGGTCAATCGTGGCATTTAGTGGAGTTCATGATGCCAATCTTCAGTTTTCTGTGTAATGTTATATATGTGGACTGTTCATTTGCCTTGTGTCATGATGCTATCTGTCCTTTGACTTTCTTCAACTTATGGGTTTTGATTGTTCCTTGCTATCTTCTCCCCCTTTTTCTATAATTTTCACTTAGTTTAAACATATTTTATTTGCTGAAATATGCAAAAGGGATAAGACACAACTTAATGAAACTTAGCAGGAACTGCTCAACCTTTCAGGGCACCTGAGATCACCCCAAATTTTTGGTGGGGTTACAGTTGCTAAGTCTTTAGTTTTCTATATTGTGTTATGTGTACTATTGTTTCTATGTTTGTCTTTTTCTTTTTTAGCCATGGCGTTGTCAGTTTAATTTCAACTTATGATTTTGGAATGTCACTTTGGTATCTTTTGCCTCACTTTTTATAAAGTCTTTTCCCATAATTTTCGCTATTGAAGGGTACTTACCATAGCCTGTAAGTCACTCTGTGGATTCCAGTCTGAGTCATAAAAGATAACAATATCAGCTGTAGCCAGGTTAATACCAAGTCCTCCAGCTCTGGTACTCAGCAGGAAAATAAACTTTTTACTGTCTTTCTTGTTAAACTCATTGATAGCTTCCTGTAATTAGACAATACAGTAACAGTCCTCAGATCTTCTCAACAGAAAAAATTGATTGTGTAATGCCTCTTTATAAACTCCTGTCATTATATTAGCATTATTACACCTCAATCTCCTTTTCTCAACATGAATATACCATTTGAATTGTCTTTCTTGTCAATCTCACTGCCATTCAAAAAATTACTTTTTGATACTGGAAAACACGAAATTTAGTCAAACGGAATCAATTTAAAAAAAAAAAAAAATCATAAAATTTTAACCCTAAAGATATTGATGTTTCTACAGTATAATCTTTCCAACATTACGGTCGTCCCCAAGGCTTTGAGAAATCAACTGGACATTTGGTCCAGTAAACCATTCTTCTCAACTGGACCAGACTCTTTTTTACTGTACATTTACACATATGATTTGGTCAAAATAAAAGTTTTACTGGTCATTTGGTCCAGTAATGCATATCACTTAACTGGACCAAACCAATTTTTTCTGGTCTTTGCCCAATGTCCTGCGACCTTGAGAATGACAAATGCAACAATCCCTTCATATGTACCCTCATCCCTGTACCTAGTCCTTAAACTTCCAAAATAACTCTTAACAATAAGTAGGAACTGATATACTTACAGTTCTCTCTGAGTGAGCAGTGCTTCCATCTAATCTACAGAATTCATATCCCTGCCAAAATACATAGTCCTCTAAAATGTCCATCATTCTGGTCATCTGACAGAATAACAGGACTCTGTGACCTAAAAACAACAAAGAATACATTTTTGTTATATACCACTGTTTTAGAACTTTCCCTTTCAGCATGTTTAGTTTGTAAACTCAACTACTCCCTTATTTTACAAAATTTATCAAAAAATAAAAAAAAGATCTAAGGGCTATTCCATTTAAACATAGCTCAACCCCCAGGAAGGCACCTGAAATTTCAAGGTACCCCCCCATAGAAGTGATATTCTTCAAGTTCAGCAATGGTAGAGAAGTGATTTTTTCTGTTCCACCACCACCAATAGAAGTGTTTTTTTTTACATCCAGACACCTCCTACAGAAGCAATTTTTTTCTTTATAATTTACTGCCACCAACAGAAGCAAATTTAAAATTCTTATTTGTTTTTAAAAAGGCAAAATTGGAGGGTATCAAAATTAATTTAATTTTGAGATGAGAAAGTTTTTTTTTGACAACAATCTCTGTCAGAAACCTTTTGCTGGGTATATCATGTTGTTTTGTTATATATACTATATGTACCTATGTTTTTGGGATGTGGAATGGCATAATACACTGTCCCAATTGTGTGAAAGTCAAGGGTACAAGTTCACTATATTATTATTTATTTCAGAGGAAAGGAAAAAGTTTCAAGGTCAAATTTATAGGAAGAAGCAAAACATAAATTATTTTCAATTCTAATGACAGAATACTTCTGACATCTTAAACTACATTTTGTAAAATTATTTTGTCATTTTTTTTTTGTAAGGCAATACAAAGTATTCTGTTTAAATACTCCATGTATACCTGTATATTTTTGTTACCACTTGTTCAATTAATTTATGCAACTGTTTGCACATCATGATTGGATTTAATTGAGTTGTTTGTTAAAATCACATACCCCTGGTTGCAATCAGGGATGGATTCATGATTTGATGTTTGGGGCAATGGAAAGCTGATTGCTTCTAGGCCTAAAAATAGGGAAAATGGGATGAAAAAGAAAAAAAAATAGTGGAGGGGTGGGAGCACACATTTGTAAAAAGAGATCCTTGATCCACCCCTGGCAATGCACACTGAGGGTTGATAATAAATATTCATAACTTGAACCTTTTAATCAGTATGAAGGCACAGTCATTCAATATTAAAGATATCTTAAAGTTATGCATCTTAATTTCTACTTGCACAGTTCACAATCATATAAAACTCATTGGGTTCTAAGCGTGACGCGGGAATGGTCGATTTTTGTTAAGCGTGACACAGGAAAATCAAATAAATAAGCGTGAAAACGGGAAATGAAGTCCGGCGGGACACATGAAATTACAAAAAATCTCTTCACTCTTTTTTTATCCCATGGAACTAAACAAGGGGACATTTTTGTTCAGTGACATAGACAAGTAATACCGGTAAGTGGTCTGCTTTTACGAGACCTCCATGTTATAAACATATGGGTCGTTTTCAAAAAATGTCCGAATTTGATTTCAAATTTCCCCCAAAAAAAAGATGCTGGTAACAATATTTTAATGACTAAATTGAATTAACAAGCATGTAAGTAAACAAAGTCTAGAATATGCAATCTTAAAAACCAAGATTTTATTTTTGGCACTGGAACATGTAAGAAGACCTGTAATGGAATAGGTCCACTTCATAACAAAACAGAATAAATTGATTTTTTAGTCTTAATTGCCCTTTTAATAAATGTTCATTTCCAATTAAAAGATGATGGTATGTGTCCACTTCATAACGACATTTGTCCACTTCATAATGTTATTTACATTATGAAGTGGACGTATTTGCCTCATGAAGTCATTTAGTTCACCACTAACACTACTAGAAGAATTTCAATTGCAGAATGCATTTGTGCCAATTGGTCTGTATGTTTTTCTAAAATCTCGAGTTTTTGGCTTTTTGTGCATTTTTTCTTAAATGTTGTTTTTGATTGGACAATTTAAAAAGTACTGGGCTTCTCTACTGTACTTACATGTAAAAATCTCCCTTTTAACCAAACTAAAAGCTTCTACCATGCTGCCATATTGTCAATAGGAAGTAGAGTTAGTCAGTGAATAGCAGATTCTTGGAAACTGTTAGGATAATGGAAAGAGTTCATACGCAAAGAAGTATTGTTTCGTTATGAAGTGGACATGGAGTCAAGGGACACGAAGAAAACAGCTACTGCAGAAAATTTTTTTTATAGTTGAGCAATAAAAATAAGTTGCAGATAATTTCATGTATTACAGGAATCTTGAGTAAAAAAATTGTACAAAAAAAAACATTTTTGAAAAAGATACATAATTGTGAAATATGTGTTTTTAGACCAGGGACAAGGGAAAAGGCAGTTGTAAAACTAATTAATATTGACTTTATTGCGAAAACTAAAAGTAAATATCTAAAGCAGTTTTTTCTGTAGATCCTTAGGACAGAAATTCGGACATTTTTTGAAAACGACCCATATTGCATATAAAGTGATATAAATCAAGCAGTTTGTGTGTGCGTGTGTGGGTGGTTGGATCTCTTTAGACACTCTCTTTCATCCATGGAACTAATAAGGGGACATTTTTGTTCAGTGACATAGACAAATTATTTAAACCATTTTTTAACACAGTCATTGACAACAATTTTATTTCCCATTTCGTATCTGATGAAATAAAACATTTGAAAAACGACCAATCTTCCTCCCCACACAAGATGAATGTGCCTAACTTCTGTCCCCTTAATTTATGTGAAACTTAAAAGTCATTTTGAAGAGGCTATTTATGTCTGATTTTATGAGACTCGTGACATGAGAATAGAACACTGAAAGTGTACCATGGTGGTTGTTTTCTGGTAAACTCTGTTGTAGAAATATTGAACCAGGTTGTTTACATTGAACAGACGACCACGCCGACATTATAATATAATATACATCTAAACAGCTCTGTTATACCCGGTGGCAATCCAATTGTTGTTAACCACGACGAGACGTCTGCTAAACCCCAGGACGCCACCATTGCGAAATGGGAGATAATCCAAATTTCACGGGAGATAACCCAAATTTGTAACCCGTATGAACATAAACCGGAAGTACATAAAACCAAATGATTCTCTCACCATTCATAAAAACAGCCCCCCAGAGAAGCATTTTCATTCAAGCTAACAATATCCATGTAGAGATGCAATTTTTTTTAATACACACCACTGGATAGAAGCAATTTATTTCAGACAACAGCCAGGGATAGATTTTTTTTCTTTGCCGTCCGTGGGTATGAGCTATGTTTAAATGGAATAGCCCTTAGCTAAATAGACTACTACATGTATATTTGATTGGATATCATCAACTGAAGTCTATCTCTGTTGTTCTATGTTGACTTTGTCTGTATGTCAGTCTTTTGTATGAGTTGGGTGTTGGTGGTTAATGAGATCTCTTATGCTGTGCAATATTTCTAGAGAATTATGAAGTCAAAATAAATACTAAATCTCTCATTGTCCTTCAGTAACTTGCTCTCAATTATTGGTGTTCCACATTTTAGTCCTGATGGTGACTGATGAAGGTCATCAAGAAACGGGGTCCATGGAATTCATTATCAAGAATATTTTGTTTTTGTTTTTCCCCTATAGAACTGACATTTTCCATTAGAATATGAATAAATGGAAATGTGGAATATACATTGACAACACAAACAAAAAAGACATCTATTAAATGCTTTATCCCTTACCTTCCTTCTGTAACTTGGGTAATAATTTATGTAGAACAGACATTTTCCCACAGGAATCTACTAAATGCAAATCAGTAGTAAAAGGAGGACCTGCAATAAAAAGCTTGGTATCATAAATAACTATATAATAAGCAGTTTCACCTCTGAACCCAATTTTAAGCATGATGGTATATAAGGCATGGTCATGTGGGGTTACAACCACTTCAAATACTATTATTATGCTTCATGTTAAAATGCAAACTTTTTATTGGTGACATTCTACTCTTGCACACAGCTCTATTTCAGAGGGTAACAGTCACTCTCTGGTGCAGAGCCAATCAATAACCAATAATTGAAAAGCAAATAACTTACTTTAATATAGACCTATAATTCAAAACAATTCAATGATCAATATTTTAAAGACAATATTAAAAAAACATCCAGTATAATAAATCAAATTAAAAAAACACATAGCTGAGAGGGTAATAGTGCAGATTGTTACCTCTTCAAAAATCTTGTATTAATAAGTTGTCTTCACCTAGGTTGACAACATTTTCTCAGGTAAACAATCTGCTCTGTCACCTATTTAGTATGTGGTATATATAAATATATTCAAGTCTAAATTGAAAACAACCTTCAAACCTATGATTGCGTTGGATAAAAACCGCAATTTTTATATGTGTGCATGTAGAACAAATTTCTTGGTAGAGGGGTCTAAATACAGCACAAACAACATTTTCCAAAAGACCAAAAAATTGAAAAAGTATATTTTAACAAAACACATTTGACTAGCAGGTCGAACAACGGATGTTCTTAAACCCTGCTGACTGCCATGGTGATTGCCAAATAAACGGATAACCAGAAGTAACATAAACTGTTAACACAGAGATATGTCTTGCCTATTTGTTATTTTGATAATGCAAATGTTGAAATTAAAATAGCAATACTTTAACATGTAAGTTATGCAAATATTCAAAGTCAATGAACCATGACTGAAGGTACAGGGCTAAACAATCTCCATGGAAATGAGATGTGCCAATGCTAATACAACTGCAAACCAAATACCATTGACTTTTCATAAGTCGTTCCCTTTAAACAAACCTAAACACAAACATTAACCTGTAAACTATGTAAAAGTTTCAAAGTCAATGAACCATAATTAGGGGTGGGGTTATATAATCTCCATGGAAATGAAACTTGCAAATGCCAATACATTTGCATACCGAATATCATTCACTTAATATTAGTTGTTCATCTTGAACTGACCTAATCACAAACCAATACATGTAAACTAAGCAAAAGTTTCAAAGTCAATAGACCATGACTGAGGGGTAAGGACCAAATATTCTCCATGGAAATGAGATGTGCTAATGCTTATACAACTGCATACAAATTATCATTGACCTACCACTAACAGTTACCCTTAAACTAACCTAATCACAAACTAATACATGAAAACTAAGCAAAAGTTTCAAAGTCAATAGACCATGAATGAGGGGGCAGGGCTAAATTATCTCCATGGAAATGAGATATGCCAATGCTTATACAACTGCATACCAAATATCATTGACCTACTACTAGTGGTTCCCCATAAACTGACCTAATCACAAACTAATACATGTAAACTAGGCAAAGTTTCAAAGCCAAAAGACCTTGACTGAGGGGGCAGGGCTAAAAAATCTCCATGGTAATGAGATGTGCCAATTCTTATACAACTGCATACCAAATATCATTGACCTACCACTAGTGGTTCACCATGAACTAGACCTAATCACAAACTAATACATTGTTGACGCCGCCGCCGCCGTCGACAGCATACCTATGTCTCGCTTTTTGACTCCGTCAAGGCGAGACAAAAATGGATCTTAATTATAAATTTAATACCAAACAGAAAATAATAAACTTGCGGAAAAGATGGTATACCGCAAACATGAGGTATATATATATTAGCATTTAAAAAGTCTATATCAAAAGATAACTTTTGTAGCATGAACTAATTCGATCTCAGTTGTAAGTTTTTTTTCAACCAAATGCCAAATATCAAGTCTAAGTCAAAATCTTAAAAAAGTTCTAGCTTGCTTTTTCTTCCTGATTATCATGATTATAGCTGCAAATAAGAAATAAGAAGCACTTGATATGGGACAGACAAACGATTGATAGACAAAAAACAAAAATCCTGTCTTCTATCTTGATGGGGAATAAAAATAATACCATTTTTTTGGAAAATGTTTATATTTAGAACTTAAGTGCCATAGCTCAATTAAACTTCATATCTAGTATAAACTTCATTTTGTTCGAAAAAAATGTATGCCATTTTTTAAAATTGATCTAATAATTTACATTTTTCAGACTTAAAGTTTCTTTCCATTATATTTCACAATATCAACCGTAACTTGAATTTATGAGCACAATAATTTACTAAAATTCACTAGCAATTTGAGGCTCAGAAATCAATGTGTGTTAAAATATTTCATTATTTACAAATATTATTCATTGACTTGTCCTTAACTGTCAAAACACATCACACAGTGAAGCATGCTCACATGAAACTTGATATCAAATTTCATGAAGCTCTGGTCTATAGTACCTGAGAAAAATATGTTAGAAAATAAATTGTATCGAGGGATGGAGGGATGGAGGTTTGGTAGTTCGATTAAAACGAAAACCAGAAGTTTGACAGACCAAGGGACACAACTCTTGCTTAGCTTGGTAAGGCTAAAATAAATCCGGATGAATATAGGTAGGGGATCGATATTCTGGTCTCAGGTTGATGTTTCTTATTTATTTCTTTGTACAGTTGCAATTTTTTTTTAATTTAAAAATTTTAGTCGAGAGAGTTATTTCCAATCGATCTTAGCCTTATTTAAAGTTTACAAAATTGTTCATTCTCGTATATATATATAAGAGATGTTGGAAAATTTAGATTTCTTTTCATTTTCTTTTATTTCAATCTTTTTCTGCAAGAGAAAATACAAAAAGTTAAACACACAGATTGAGTAGTTTTGAGTTGATCACCAATGGAAGTCTTAATCACGCTTTATACACAACCAAGCTCATTAATGTATGATTACGGTTAATTGTTTTTAAATATTTTAAATAGTTTTTCATAAACTATAACAATCTATCACTAATTATTTATCGTGGTGATCAAAGATGATCTTAGGTAATCACTTGTGGAACAAGAATGTCTTAAATCAATACAGTGGTAAGTGACCAGAAATTTGATTACACGTGTATTGTCAGATTAACTCCTCAATCCATTTAAATACCGAGATCATGTTTTGACATATGTGTTTAAGTTTGAGTTAAATAATGAATTTTGAAAGCTTTTGTTACACTTGTGACTGTAAATTTTGTTCAAGTCAACCAAAATTTCCATTAACCCAATTTCAACTCATCAGGAGTCAAAATACATATATTTATATGGAACAAAGTTCAGGCCATCGGGAATACTTCGACTCATCCAAAATTTCAAGACAGAGAGAGTTAACTGTATTAAAAACATCCTTAGATTTTTCTATAGAAATGAAAAAAAGATTAAGTATGTATAATGGTTGACAAAAGGCTTCAGTATGTAATTCTAAAAAAAAAAAGTTTTTACCTGGCTCTGCCCCCTCAAAAAGATAGGCATGGTTAGTACATTTCCTCAGTTGCATCAGAATATTTAACAATCTCATCTTGTTGTTCTCACCACAACCATTTACAATATTAATATCTTTCAGTAAAATCTTGGTATACCTAAAATAATTATATAACAATATCAAAATACAATGTTTCAATACATACAATACAGGAAACTTTACATTAATAATAAGTTAGTACCAGTTTCTGTTTGCCAAAGTGTGACTTAGATTGGTATTAAAATAGAAATAAGTTATTTACAAATGTAATGAACATATAGGTACTTAATTGCACAAATAAAGTTTTAACTCCCATGTAAAATGCACATATGTCTAAAAGGTACGTTGTTGCACAAAGAATTATAATTTTCAACTACTATGTGGAATGCACATGTGTCTATGTCAACTTATATTTGTTCCGCCTAATAGAAAATCCCCTTGAAACTTTGTTACAAACAATGTCATATTTGTTCCTGTTAAAAAAAATATTCTATACACTTTATTCAGTAAGGAACAAATTCTGTAGTATTTGTTCCAGTGGAAATAATATTACAGAGTATTTCTTCCATTTAAATTTGGAATTTATATTATTAGGGAACTTTTATTTCATGACATCTAAAAGACATTTCAATACACAAAGAATTATTATTTTAAACTTCCATGCGGAATACAAATATGTTTAAAATAATGTTTGCTGCACAAAAAATTATTAGTAAAATGTGGAATGCAAGTATGTCTAAAATGGTACTTTGCTGCACAAAAAATTATCAATAACCCCACAAAACACCTACCACTCCCTCTGTAAGGCACTTAGACCAACATAAATGTAGGTTTCTTTCTTTGGTAACAATCCTTTCTCTACATCAGCTTTAATCCTTCTTAGCAGAAATGGTCTCAGTACCTAGATAAAAAAATAGATGACAAATTAGTGTTTAATGTCAAGTGGCAATTATTACATGCTGTAGAACCTAGTTAAAAATTAAAAACAAATTGATGATAGATAATTGTTAAATGTCCAGTGGCTAAAAGTACATGCATATCAGGACAAACACATGTTAATGTGCTATATGATCATGGCGTCGGTTTTGTACTAGACCCATCTGCTTGAGCAAGATTTTTAACTTACTACCAGTAGTTTACAAGGTACTTAGGTAGCAGACTGAAGAAAACATCATTATGACTCTGACCTAACCCGTCTTTTTTCCTTCTCCTAAATGCTGCTTGATAAATACCAATTTTTCAAGTCTATTGTAAGTCCATAAAATCCTGCACTCATGTTAAATAATCAAAATACCATGTGTGGTTCATTGTTGTTTTAGTTTGCATGTGTGTTAAGTTTTTTTTAAGAAGTCTGGTGTTTGTTGATATCGTCTGTATTGTCCAGAATTTTTATGATACCTGTTATTCTATATTATATAACTAATTTTGTGATACCTGTTATTCATTCTATGTGTTACAACAAATATTGCTAAAAACATATGAAACAGCAAAGATGAACAATATTTTATACTCTCATCAAAGGTTTCAAACCTACATCATGTAAATGTGTTAAACCTACATCATGTAAATGTGTTAAACCTACATCATGTAAACGTTTGACCAGTTCTCCATCACATAAGCATCCTTCTGAGCTGAACCAGGTGTCAAAATCCTGTAAACAAACTCATCATAGATAAAAGAGTACAACATTTCTTTGTATTGGAAAATCTATAATGTACAATTATAAAATGTCTTTAAAGATTTAAACAACAGATTCTAGTCTTTATCATATATGTTTAATAGATAATCCAACAGATTATGTTAAAGGGATGATTATTTTCAAAGCTGTATTGTTCATTATTGCTTTGTGTTTTTGAATTGTCTATTTATACCATTTTTTATAGAGGTAAATTTTATTGCATGTGCCTGTCCCAAGTTATTAAAAAATGTCTTTTCATAAATTTGGTTGTGATGACAAATCTTGAAAGTCTCTGTTTTATTAATACCTGTTTACACTCTCAAGTTATTCAAAGCTTGGAATATATTGTAGACACTGGTCCATTGTTGAAGAACACATTTTGACCAGTTGTCCTTAGTTTTTTTGTTTTTTTGGCATATGATCATAAAATTTCCATATTGAAGGGTCTAGATAGGATTTACCGAAGAGAATTATCTGCCAAATATTAAAAATAAAGAAAAATGTCCTAAAATGAAGAACAGAGAATAATAAGGTACAAAAATACATAGAATAGGGACTTATTGACAAATATATAAAGAATAGAGAGAAAAAATAAAAGAATAAAGAAATGAAAACTTCTTTCACCAATCTGGACAATCACAATAGACAATGTCATTATACTATAAATATAAGCGAGATCTTCTGAAGGTTAGATAAACTGTGAAACAATGTTTTTCAATTTAAATAAAAAAATATCTGATATCTTTAGGACTGTTCCATAAAAACATACATGGGACCCAGAGAAGGCACTTCCAAATCTCAACTATGAGTGGATGTCATTTATGTTATTACATAGTGGAAATGTAAGTAAAATTTTGATTTGCCTCTATAGGGGGTTACCCCATTTTTAAAGTGCCTTCCCTGGGTACCATGTATGTTTTAATGGAACAGACCTTACCTCTGATGAGTTGAATACATCAGGCAACAGGAAGTTCAGCAGGGACCATAACTCATGTAGATTATTCTGTAGTGGTGTCCCAGTCAGCAACAGTCTGTTGGTTGACTTAATGCTTCTGATAATCACAGAAACCTGGAACAGAAAATTAACCAACTTACTGGAATCAAGTTTTCTTAAGGCTGCTCCTGAATTTAAAATCCTTGATTTTCTAACTTTACAACTTTAAGCATAACTAAAACTCTGGCACAACTGAATTTCCAAGTAAAACTGTAATTCAAAGCACAACTAGAATATAAATGTAGAAATTGAAGTGCACTAGTACACCTATCAACTGTATATTTACTTATAAACTGTCAATGAACTTTTTTTGTGTGGATACTTTCAACAATATTTTTTTCGAGTTAAGTATGACAATATTTTTTTTCAGTTAAGTTAAGATTTTGTCCTACCTTCATGAATTTCAAACTTTGTAAGTGTATACAAAGAGTTGATCAAATTTTGACATATTTGCGAGGATTTGTATTCTCGAAAGACTAAAAAAAATAAATTACTCATGAAAATTAGTAGGTTAACAGTATACGTCCAGGGGGAGATAACTGTAGTTTTCCCCCAGACTGGTACTTACCAGTGTTTTCTCAGGGGGAGATAACTTAAGTTTTCCACAGACTGGTACTTACCAATGTTTTCTCATTTCTGATTTTATGAGCTTCGTCAACAACAAGATAACTCCATTAGACTCGCTTCAAGGCCCCTTTTTCTATTGTACAATTTTCATAGGGGGAGATAACTGCAGTTTTCCCCAGACTGGTACTTACCAGTGTTTTCTCATTTTTGATTTTATGTGCTTCGTCAACAACAAGATAACTCCATTGGACTCGCTTCAAGGCCCCTTGTTCTATTGTACATTTTTCTTAGGGAGGAGATAACTGTAGTTTTCCCCAGACTGGTACTTATCAGTGTTTTCGCATTTCTTATTTTATGAGCTTCGTCAACAACAAGATAACTCCATTGGACTCGCTTCAAGGCCCCTTTTTCTATTGTACATTTTTCATAGGGGGAGATAACTGAAGTTTTCCCCAGACGGGTACTTACCAGTGTTTTCTCATTTTTGATTTTATGAGCTTCGTCAACAACAAGATACCTCCAATGGACTCTCTTCAAGGACGCTTTTTCTATTACACATTTTTCATAGTTAGTTATACAGACGTCCCAAGATTTACCATCCTTAAACACATTCTTTATCCACTTTTTCTATTGTAAAGAAATAAAAATTTCAATCAACAATAATCTATCTAATCTGTGTACCGTAAGGTAGTTCTTTTTTTTAACAGAGATTAAATTTTGCATTTCAAAGTCCAAATTTGTTTGTGAGGCTTTTATTGTTTTTATGTTTTTGTTGTTCCCAACTTTTACCTTCTTTTAAGATTAAATTTATGCAAGGAAAGATTTTCTTAATTGTATTATCAGAAAGGTATTCAGTAAACTACCAAAGTTTATAAAAATCAAATTTACAATAACATTACAGAAGATTTGTTTTGGTATATTCTAAATTGGACAATTAGCAACAAAAAAAATTCATACATTAGCAGAGAAATAAGATTCATACAAGTATAGTTTGCATTTACTATAATTTCTAATGGGCTAATCCTTGCAATTCTCATTTCAAAGAATATAATCTTTAATTAAAATTTCCTTAAGCACAAAAAGTACCCTTTCGTGACCCTTTTTCCTTAGAACAGACATCAGAATTAAACCTACCCTCTCATCAATATTTCCCCTCAAAACAACCACTCTGAAATCTGGACACCAGCGGTTGAATTCTGCCACCCAGTTGTCCACCGTAGACAGAGGCACAACAATAAGGTGTGGTCCAGATATGTTTTTGTAGTGCTTCAGGTATCCCAACAAGGCAATGGTCTGTATTGTTTTACCAAGACCCTGAAAAAGAAATTTTAAAATAAGTCCAATCATTTATTAAAAATATATACCTGATGTTTGCTGATCTTTTTCCTTATTTTTTAACAACAAAGATATTTCTAGGTATTGTATTGAAAATAGCATTGTATTTTTCTAAAAATTTTGACACAATTACATTTTTTATAGTATTATAAAATGCACCACTTCTCATATATTTTACAGGAAGAATTACGTTTATTCTGATTCTTCAAAAATAATAGGATTTGTCACCATGAAAAAAAACGTTTACATATAATGAGTACTTTCACTGGACCAAATGTCTGATAGAATTGTGTAAATTTTCATGTTTATGATTATCTATTGTTTAGCGAAATTTTGTTTAGAAAAGGAAATAATAATTGACCAATGAAACGAGGCAAATAAAAATAAATAATAATATGTGTTTGGGGTTTTCCAACTGACCCTTTATTTTCCCCACCAACTCTTAATTTTTCAATCATGATAAAAAAAAATTTAATTTTGTAGTGGAGGTGTCCCGATTGCAGAGGATTATTTCGTAGAAGAGCTAGCTCTCTAATTTGGAGGGGATATGTTCACACTTACATAGAAATAAACAATATGGATGTCGCCATGCTGACGGCCCCCACCACAAGCTTAATAATTGCTTTAAAATTATCATATGAATTACAAAAACATTTTAAAATGTACAGAAAACAGAAGAATGTTCATGGAAGTGTTTTCGAAGATGACCACAGGGTTTTCGGCCTTAAAATAATGTGCACCGCTGGCAATGAAAAATATGAGGTATAACCAAATTTAACAGTGGGGAAGTTAGCACAAAATATACAAGCATTAAGTGCTCTTCTGAAGCAACGGATGCAGCTAGACTCACTCAAATGGTGGATGCTGCTGCTACTGCTGCAACGAAGAAGGTGGTTAATGCCTTCTAATACTTATGGCAAGTGGGAGAGGCTATGTAAATGACAAGGTACAGTAAATAAACCAGTGCAACATTCTCATAGTTAGGCAAGTTTCTGCTAGCTTTTAAGGGGAACTGGAAAACCACAACTGCAACATTTAGAATGTCTATTTGTTGATATATTTGTAGGACATTCAGGCAGAATCTTGAAAGCTGGATTATATAAGCTTTACATTAAATTAATATTTTAATGATGAATGAACATGAAGTCAAGGTGAGATAAATCCTATCAGACAAACATGTAGGCCGTACAATCATTCCATACACCAAATATAGTTGACCTATTGCTTATAGTATTAGAAAAACAGACCAAAACACAAAAACTTAACATTGACCAATGAACCATGAAAATGAGGTCAAGGACAAATGACACCTGCCAGTCAGACATGTACACCTTACAATCATTCCATACACCAAATATAGTTGACCTATTGCTTATAGTATTAGAAAAACAGACCAAAACACAAAAACTTAACATTGACCAATGAACCATGAAAATACTGTGGATTCATTTATTTTCGTGGGTATCAATTTTCGTGGATTGCTGTTAACTTACATATTCGTGGATATTTGATTTCGTGGTTTTGCCAATCTCTGTAATCAAAGCCTATTGAAAATATGATATTCGTTGAACATTTGAATTCGTGGTTGACCTGTACCCACAAAACCCACGAAAATTGATATCCAACGAATAATAATGAATCCACAGTAGGTCAAGGACAAATGACACCTGCCAGACAGACATGTTCACCTTACAATCATTCCATACACCAAATATAGTTGACCAATGGCTTATAGTATTAGAAAAACAGACCAAAACACAAAAACTTAACATTGACCAATGAACCGTGAAAATGAGGTCAAGGTCAGATGAAACCTGCCAGACTGACATATATATATATATGCATGTATCCCTTATAATCATTCCATACACCACATATAGCTGACCTACTGCTTGTAGTATCTGAGAAACGGACCTAATCACGTAACTTTAACCTTGATCACTGATCCATGAAATGAGGCTGAGGTCAGGTGAACCCTGTCTGATGGACATGTAGACGTTGCAAGGAACCCATATACCAAATATAGTTATCCTATTACTCATAATAAGTGAGAAATTTACATAACAAAAAAACTAAACTTTTTTTTCAAGCAGTCGCTGAACCATGAAAATAAGGTCAAGGACATTGGACATATGACAGACGGAAAGTTCGTAACATAAGGTATCTGCATACAAAGTATGAAGCATCCAGGTCTTCTACCTTCTGAAATATAAAGCTTTATACAAATAGTTTACGCCGCCTTCGCCGCCGGATAGTAATACCTATGTCTCACTTTCTGCGACTTTCGTCGCAGGCGAGACAAAAACCATTTGCCTGACAAACAATATTATTATTTGCAGTGTTTTGTGATAACTTCTGTCAGACATTTGATTATATGGTGTACATTTTAGGTGCATTTTGTTTTCTTCAATTCTTACCATTTCATCTGCAAGAATACCATTTATACCATGTGTATACAGTGATATCAACCAGTTGAGGCCCCGTACCTGGTAGTCTCTCATTTTTCCCACCTGAATATCTGAAATAAATTTAAAAAGAATGTACCGATTATCAGGACTAATTTCTATTGATATTGTAAAAGTCAGCTGCAAGTCAGTGTATCAATTTTTTTTGGTTCTGGTAAGAACCAGCTTAAAAAGCTTCATATTGTGTCAAGCAGCTTATATTTCATAATTTTATATGCATACTGTAAATTCAGAAATTATTGTGAGTGTTTTATTAATGCGAATAATGCGACTGGGTTAGCATGCATATATATGGCAATAGTAAGACCTCGCATTCTGATATCTGATACATATAACTGTATGCAGAATTTTCTGAAATCGCAATAATAAATCTTGCACTTTTGTCAATTCTTCAAACATTGCAATAATAAGTGCACACATTAATTTCTGAATTTACAGTATAGAATATATATCTATTTTTAGAAAAACCTGGAAATTAATTTATCATTTTGCATTTTATAAGCTTTGGTTACACATTATTGATGTCAGTCATGTGTCCATTTCAAAGTTGTTACTTTTACGTTTGACATCAAGAATATTTAATTTCAAAAAGAGCCCAGCATGGTGAAGCAGGTCCAATGAAATCAACCTGTTCAGACCTTATGATATCATTAAGATCAACCTTTTTTTCAAAGTTTTTTGGTCCCTCTAAAATCAATGTCTAAAAACTGAAGAAAGATATTGGTTTGATCCCTCATCCTAAGCTGTTTGAACAGGTCATTAAACTTCTTTCAAAGCTATACAATACATTCATAAATTCTACATTATATCAAAGCTCAAGACTTCTAGGGGTAATAGAAGGCTTTGAAAACAAGGGACTCTTTACCTGATATCTGGATTAAACAAGAATGTGTCTATAGTACACGGATGCCCCTCTCGCACTATCATTTTCTATGTTCAGTGGACCGTGAAATTGGGGTCAAAACTCTAATTTGGCATTAAAATTAGAAAGATCATATCATAGGGAACATGTGTACTAAGTTTCAAGTTGATTGGACTTCAAACTTCATCAAAAACTACCTTGACCAAAAACTTTAACCTGAAGCGGGACAGACGGACAGACCGAAAAACATAATGCCCCTCTATTATCGTAGGTGGGGCACAAAAAAAAAAGAGGCAGAAGATACCAAGGTGACTTTCAAAACTCACAAGTCAAGATAAACTGTGTGGTGACCTATAGATATTAGCATCTACGCAATTTGGTCTCTGGTGGATAGTTGTTTCATTGGCAATCATATCACATATCATTATTTTATATTGACAATGTCATGCAAAAAGGAATCGACTAAACATACTAAACGACAAGCAGTTCACAAACACCACATAGAAAACTGAAGACTGAGCAATTAACCCTCCCAAAAACTATGAGTGATGTTAGGGGCTCCAGAATAGTAAGCAGATACTGCTACCCTAGTGACACCCGTTGTGGTACACATGGCAACTATAAGTAACTGTATACAAGTAACCTAGTAATTAGGTGTTCATACATGTACATGTGAGAAGAAAAAAAAACGAAACTGTTGCTTTTAAATACAGCCTAAAATTTCAATTCCTTCTAGCACTGATAACAACCTTTTATATCTATAAATATAAGATGTGTTATGATTGCAAATAAGACAACTCTCCACCAGAGACTAAATGATGCAGAAGGTCAACCTTGTGAGACCCTCGTGGGTAGTCAAGGTTGTTAAACACCCCAGTAGCCATGCAGTGTACTTACAAGATGGAGACTTATCGAAGATTTCAACATCTTTTTCTGCTTTACAGTCATCTAACAGAATCTTATCTTCATCTTTCTCTTTCAACCTATGTCTTGAAAAAAGTTTGTCTTCATTAGCAATTTCAATGTACAGTGTTTTAATGAATGAAACAATCACTTATCAGGATAAAATGCACAGAGATTAAAAATTAAACAATTATTTTTCTGTTTACAGTTCATGGAGTACAGACTTACGTTGGGCATTGCACACAACACCAAAAAAAAAAAACAGACATTTATTTTGCAGGTACTCTTTTTCTTATGTCAATGAACCATTGTTGACACAAGTCTAAATATAACATGTTGTTTTGATTGATTAATATTCAAATTCAACAAGATGTAAGTCAAACTTACTATATTTAAAACTACTACTAGACCTACAGTTTTCACTTTATTTGAAATCCTTTTTCCATCCATATAAAGTCAAACTTTGATAAGTTTCAGAGACCTGACTTAAACATGTTAACTAATGCTACTTTAACAACAGGATTCAGCAGTAGAGGTAATGTTTTCAACAGATGTACTACTTTTCTACTTATGTCACAATTGTGTACTGTTTTGTTTCTCACAATAGCTGCAAAGTTTAACTATTAGATATACAAGCAATTGCCCTTCCTCTGCAGGTGTTAGTATAATGGAAATCTCTTATCTATAGCAGTAAAATTGCATGGAAATCTCTTAGTTATGGCAGTAAAATTGTTAAAGGGGTAAAATTGGAAAAAATAAAAGAAAATTAGGAAGGGACATGTAGCAAGCTTAAGTCTATACTAGAAATAAAAGCAATTGTTGCAAGTTACATGCAAATGCAATAAACAATACATTATAATAACATCATATGGTTTATACATTGTCTATGTGAATTTTTTTTTTTTACCTCCCAACTTTGCCCTTTGACCTTCTTCCTTTAGAAGTTGAGGTTCCCTGTTCATCCTCCTCTTTGGCACCAGTCTGTATGAAATGTGAGAATAACTCAGTTTGTTTCAGAAGATAATCAAACCTTTTCCTTTTGTTGGCTTCCTAACAAAATAACAAGCAAAAAATAAGCAAGCTATATTTTTAATGTTAGTGGTATCATTTTAGGTCACATAGAATGTGGTGTCTAAGTGCACTCAAGGTCTAGGATAAGTTGTAAAGAAGTAATTATAGATCTAAAAAGGAAAATATGCTAATGGTTTTTGCTCATTGTTGAAGGCTGTACGGTTAACTTTTACATCATTTGGTCTCTGGTGGAGAGTTGTCTCATTTGCAAACATACCACATCTACTTATTTTTAGAAACTCGACAGTAGATTCATTAAAATCTGGAACTAAGAAAAAAAAATTTATTGAGAAATCTTTACAGGATGACCAGATATTGAAATAGCTTTTGGCGTTAATGACCATAGAATGAAGAATGTTAGGAAAAACATGTGAACAATTACGGTGCATAAAAATTATGAGAAATATTATGTAAACAATTACACATTGAACACTCAAATAGAAAAGTGGGATTTTAATAATACTTTACCTTCTTGTTGTAACTTAAAATCCACAAACTTAGTATTGTCCAGTTTAAAATTTTACGTAAAATTCTTGATACAAACTTACTCAAAATACTGCAAATTACATGTTTATCAAGGCTTGGAGTTACACATGAACATTTTGTGAATGATATATATAACAGTAGAATAATTCCAGTGTAAAACAATCACTTATCATAATGCACAAAACTTTTCTCTAGCATGATGAGTGTTCTCTCCTTAAAAAGACCGCAGCAGATGCAATGTTTGTTTGACTAAGGGTGAACTATCATTGAAATTTAGTTGTCCCTTATCATTTTTGGAATTTGGTTTTGATTACTGATCTTTGACAAAATTTTGCTGCATTAATTATAAGGATGTACTTAGGTGAAATTAAAAAAAATCTAGAATTTAAAATTGATACTATAAATCAGAAGAGCATTAGTTAAGGAACAAAATAAGCTAAAAATATTGATAGGTTATGGAGCTCCTTTTCGAGATATTTGATTTTTAAAAAATGGCGGGAAAAGGCTGACTCGACTTTTAACTTATATTTGCATTGATATTATTTGGATCTCAAATCGAAAGAAAAGAAATCTAGAATCTGCTTAAATTTTGGTAAATGACCTTTTATGATCTATTGAAGTCTTATATGAAAAGAAAAATGGGTGTTATGGGGCAAAATATTTTACCCTGTATTGAAGGAAAAACAAGTAAAACTGTGAGCGTAGCTCACTGATGATACCCCCGCCGAAATATTTCGATTAACAGGAAGTTGTTGAGTGATGAATCTGAAAACCCATCACACGGTATAGCTGACTTATATAAACCCTGAAACCAAATTTCAGAAATCCTTGTCAAGTAGTTCCTGAGAAAAATGTGACAAAAATTTTCAACTTGGCTATCATGTGTAAGATAATACAAGTGTTCGGTAAACAGGAAGTTGTTGAGTGATGAATCTGAAAACGCATCACACGGTGTAACTTACTTATATAAACCCTTAAACCAAATTTCAGAAATCCTTGTCAAGTAGTTCCTGAGAAAAATGCGACGAAAATATTCATGGGACGGATGGACTGACGGAAAGACAGACAGAGGTAAAACAGTATACCCCCACTTTTTAAAGCGGGGGTATAAAAACAAGGAGTCCGAACATCTGACACACATGTTGACCTCTACATGTATTTCATGTTGTTGAGGTGCTATTTCATTGACATATATACCCCACGTCTCTTTTTATAATTACTTGAATAGGCCATTTTTTCAAGAAAATGCCAAATTGTTAAAAATAAATCGTAAAATGTACATTTCCTTAAAATCATATGTTAACAAAAAAACAATCATTTTATGATTAAATCAACTGTTAACACAGAGATATGTCTTGCCTTTTTGTTATTTTAACAGTAAAATGCAAATGTTGATATTAAAATAGCAATACCATGAAAATAGCAATACCATGAATACTTTAACATGTAAGTTATGCAAATATTCAGTCAATGAACCATGACTGAAAGTAAAGGGCCAAACAATCTCCATGGAAATGAGATGTGCCAATGCTAATACAACCGCATACCAAATATTGACCTAACACTAGTGGTTCCCCATAAACTGACCTAATCACAAACTAATACATGTGAAACTAAGCAAAATTGTCTTAGCCAATAGACCATGACAGAAGGGACGGGGTCAAATAATCTCCATGGTAATAAGATGTGCCAATGTTAATACAATTGCATACCAAATATCATTGACCTACCACCAGTGGTTCCCCATAAACTGACCTAATCACAAACTAATACATTGTTAATGCTGTCGCCAACACTCACCGTCACAGACTCAAGAAACAGCATACCTATGTCTTCCTTTTTGACTCCGTCAACATGGTCAAGGTAAGACAAAAACTGATCATTATTATTGATTGTACAGGTCAACAATTATTTTCAGATATTTTCAGGTAAATAATCATAGATTGATAAACAATTACAATTTTATCTTCATAATCTCCTTTATCTTCTACTTTCTTTCTCTTTTTTGGTGGATCTTCCTCTCCAGACATGTTGCAAGAGCTGACCAGTACTGTGTCAAATCTACAGATAAAAAAACAGGAGCATTTAAAATAATTTAAAATTTTGCACACAGTCGACGTCTTCATGATTAACCCTCAAGTTTAGGCCAGTAAAATTATCTTGAAAAGAGTATTAATAAGGCATATAAGATTCATGAAACTTTGTGAAAGACTGATTTTCAGGCTTGATAGTTAAATGATGAATTTGGCTATCTTTTTTGGGTCCCTTTTAGTCATATACATGTATCTCCTAAAGTTTCTACCTATTTATACATTACTGGCTTTCAAATGTTATGGTTAGAGCATTCCTGATGAAGGTTTATCCAGAAAAGGGCTTGGACGCACACAATTTATAAAATATTATTTTCATTTAAACTTTTTTGTGAACTGTGACATCAAAGTAAATTAATTTACCATTTCAGTGGTCATCTACTTTCAGTGAATATTGTTAGTTAGAACAATGTACATGATGAAATCTATTCCTAAATGTATGTTGGTTTTCTTGTGTCACTTCGTTGCTGTTACATGTACATTTATAAACAAAATCACTAGTTTTAAGTCCATCATCTCATTGATCAATGTTAATTCAAAGGACTGAACATACTGAATGATGACAGAAAAATTACAGAGCATATATTTTTATAGTGTTAAAAAAAATGTTTTTGAATCAACATTTTATACCTCAAATGGCACATATTTATGAAAATGCAGCAAATTATCCAAAAGATGATTAGTCCTAAATTGATTTTCTGAGAAGATACAAGCCTAAGTTTTTTATGTTGTGTTTTGTTTTTAAACTTTTTTCGTTTTTTGCCATGTCATTGTCAGTTTGTTTTTGGCTTATGAGTTTGACTCTCCCTTTGGTATCTTCCGCTTCTCTTATATACTGATCAAAACATTTGCTACAAGATTAGGTTTTTCAATTAGACTCTTACACTGTTGACAATATTGAAAGTACATTAGTTCATAGCAGGAAAATGCTCCTCCGATTACCACATTCTTATATCATGTACATTGTGTTTCATTTGCATTGATTTGTCCTGTTTGTGTATAATTTATCAAATCTTAAGAATGGGACCTCTTATAATACTGCAGAATGGAAGTGGAACATCATAAATATTGTCTCACTGTGATATAAAATACTAGATTATAATAAATATGCATTTAATATTGAATTGCAGAAACTATAAATCCTAGGATAAATATCCAAACTTAATTAATTAGCATTTACGATTAAATTAAATCTAGAAAATCAAAAGATAAATATAAATGTTGTAAAAAGTCACATATGTTATACACTGGTAGA